GATCATTTAAAAGCTTTGTACAAATGTATTTAGAGATAAATGTGAAGGCTTTACCAGTTGGAGTTCAGCCGGTGGAGCCAGCTCCGCATTTCCATAGACGATGGCAGGATTGTACAGACTGAACACTACTGGATAGAAGACTTTCTTATCTATAAAACAAACGGGTCATTTAGTATATTCAATTAAAGCTACATTGTAATGGTACATGTAAACAAAATAGCTATAAATACAATAATCTGAGCAATAACATGAAGACCTACTTGGAGCAGCGTGGAGACGACAGGTGTTCAGGAACTCGAGTGTAAAATGGATGTCAACGTCACAAAAAAACATTAAGACGTCGCCTTTCTTCCAGGCGTGAGCCCCGATATCCAGACCCCGACCTCTGGAAAACTCCTCGTCCACTGGGACCAGGGTGTAATTTGAGAAGCTCTCCTCTCTGAAACACAACAAATGTAGTAGATTTGAATTATCACAACTCATTACTATCACAAAACCAGCAAAAGCACATCTTAAGTTATTTCTCAGTGAAAGGACACACCTTGACATTTTCTCCAAAGATGATTCCACTTCCTGCAGGCCTTCTGGCCCGAAATAAACCACCGTGAGATGGACTCTTCTGTCTTGCTGTATGCACACCTCTCTAAAAACAAATACCATGTAAGGAATAAAGAGAACACAAAGGTTGTGTTTAATTGCACAATAATGATGCGAGTCTACTGAATACAAATTTGACGTGAACATGCAGGACGTGAATAAAGAGAACACAAAGGTTGTGTTTAATTGCACAATAATGATGCGAGTCTACTGAATACAAATTTGACGTGAACATGCTGGGTCATGTCTGTCAGAGTTTCTGCTGTACTCTCACCTGAAGTTGTGCAAGAACTGTGAGAAAGTATCTACTCTGCCTGCCAGCGGCACGATGATGTTGATAATCATTGCTGATGTTTCTACGGAGGTGCTCCTGACTTTCATTAAGGGACCAAAAGGTCTGAAGAGCGTGACGTGGCGGAAGCTGCTGGACTCCTCTTTGGCGAAGAATAGCTCGTAAAGCGTCCCTTTGTCTCGCTCCGTCCTGTACATTCCTGTATAATAAAAAAGAGCTTCACTGAGAACACAGTAACAGCGATCATTCACTGGTCCGTAGTAAGGTAGTGTAGATCTTACCTTCAGTAAAGTGACCCTCTGTGTAGGTCTGTCTCTGCATCGGCATGTCTTCCTCCACTCCATCTTCCTCGTCGGGGTTGTTGATGATGTCCAGCGCGGCCTCCATCACCTCCACCAGCTCGTCCCTGCGGTCTTTGCGGACAGGTTTCTCCTCTGGGTGCCGTGTCAGCCCCATCTCCAGCTGGTACACTTTGGATGAAGTGAAACTCTCAAAGGGCACCAGGGCGTACTCGCTGGGGAGGCGTGCCCCCGTGTTGACCTCCGCTTTGTCGATCTGAGAGTGCAGGTACTCCAGCAGGTCTCCAGGCTCTTGGTCCTTCGTCTCCGTAAGGCCCTGCACCCCGGGGGGCTCCTTCTTGTCCTGCATGAGCTTTAGCTTCTCACCCATTTCCTGCAGCTCCTGCTTGAGCTGAGCGATCTGCCGCTTGAGACTGGCGGCCCGGTTCAGGTGGCGCTCCTCCTGCTCCTGCAGCAGGCCCTGGTAGTACTCCTTCCCGTAGGTGTCCCCTGCTATGCCGGGGGGCAGGGCCAGGCTGGCGTCTGCGGGAGGGGTGCACTCCAGCAGGTAGGCGAACAGCAGCAGCACCAGCAGCAGGAAGAGGCCCAGAAAGAGCCAGCGGAACCGGCCCTGGAGCGACAACCCCCGCCTGGGCATCACGCTCACATACAAGCTATAGCTGGCAAGTCTGCATTCCCTTTCCCCTCTGATCACATTACTCACTGTGTGCTTCTGCACATCACCTTGAAGGTCTGGAAGGGTCTCTATGTCATTTTCTGTGATGGTCTTGTTTCTTGGCTCCACTTTTCATACATTTGTCCTGTGTGAATCCCTGCGATGATCACCTAGGTAAAGAAAAAGGAATTACAGAAATCCACAATAAGACAACAGTTATAAAACAATACAGGTAGTATTTGTGAGGACTTAAATAAATGCAATGAAAGAAATGGGTATGATAACCAAATAATGAGACGCTAACACAACAGTGTGTTACTTACCAGTCAAGCATCATTATGAAATACCCATCCAGCCAGTAGTAGTCTTATTCAGTCAATGAATAAAACACTTTTCTTTAACAACGTGTTTATACGTGTCCGACTTCTATGAATATTTCACCTTTCAACGATTCAATAATAATAAATCAGAGCTGAATAAACACAGGCAGAAGGAATTAGCCACACCTGAGATCTAGCACACGGCGACTAGCTCTCAGCTAAATAACAGAACAGAGGAAAGCTGGTGGGCGAGCTGCACGGCAAGCTCCTGAAGAGTGACTTCCGGTTAGCCGGCTTACCTTTCAAAATAACAGCATGACTTTTTCTACTAAAAGCGTGGACACTGAGAAGCTCCTTGTGGAAGAAAATTATCTAACAAGATTACCAAATATTTATAACAACACAATTATGTTCTTAATGTTTTGTGATGTATATGCTACAAATATTGTATAAAAGAAAAGTCTTTAATCCTAAGTATGTAGCCTTGTAGAACCTCTATTATCCACCACATACCACACACAATTGTGTCTTGAAGGTCAAACACTAAAGCCTACAGCTCCAGCCCTTGGCACACAAAGTGATGCTGTTTGTCTTCCCGACACTCATTGTCTTTCCTGAATGGCTTTAATGAAAAGCAGCAGGCCCCTGAGTCCAAAAGGCAAGAGCTGGAAACCATTGCTCTAATGTCAAAACAGCTACAGTAGAATCAAACCCTTTTCGCTTAACAGGAAAGCAAGAAAAAGTATTAAAAACACTTCCCCTTTTTTGTCCAACTTGTACGTGCTACTTTCTCTTAACAAGTTTAATGCCACACCTAAGAGAAATCCAGCAGTCTAATGTGTCGCCCAAAAGCATAAAATACATTTTTTTATTTGAAAAATGACTGAGATATTTTCAATATAGTATCTAATTCAATCTTATATTAAAATAGACACAAGTATTACGGTTTTAACCATTCAAAAAAGAGGAACTAAATGTCCTAAATGTGTCTTAGCTTTGCCTTCTTGCCAATGAGAAGGATGAAAATGCATGCAACACTTGACTGGCTGAAAAGTGTCAGACTGATATCATCAAGGTTATGGTGTAAACGCATCATATGAACAGACCTTGTGGCAGTGCATTGATAGAGACTACACATTCATACACCAACAGGGACTCCTACATTATAGAGACATATCTGAACTGTTGTTACTAAAGTAAACTACTTGAGCAGTGAGTTTTGTTAACAATAAGTCACTTACATGATATTTAAATTATGTGATTAATATTGTGTTTACTTGGAGAAAAAAAACATTATGTTATGAACTTTACAGTGTGTTTGAATATGTTTGGCAACTTTATTATCTTGGTTGATCAATTCTGCAACTTAATGTGCAGTCTGCAAACATTTTACATTTGACGTCGTTTTGTATCTGATCATCACACAGTTTAATTAGAGTGTTACTTCACAGCAAAATGTGTGCTCTTACTTTGAAAGATCGAAACCGGAAATTGGCACGGTTCTCCAGTTAGCTTAACGACGTTCGGAGATTGCCTGCGCTTTCGGGTTATTTTATATCTGTTAGAGAGCCTGCTAACCCGTTATTGAACGGTAAAAAAAAACTACTCACCTAATTCCGTCTTTTTCCATTCCTGCCCGTGTTTACAGCATTGGGTTTAGTAGAAAACCAGCAGCCGAAGACAGCCTCTGTTGCAAAATGCCACGGAGCAAAGAGAAAAGAGTGAGTGGGTCATAGTTTACTTCCGGTCAAGAGTTAACCAATGAGAGCTTTGTTTCGAGTGTCGTCATTAAACACGTTGAAGCCCCTTGTTCATCATAATAACCTCCAATACTAAGTAAAAAGTTATAATTACAATCATAATTACTTATTCTTTTTTATGCTACACGTTTGTTTATGAACATTAACACAAATACACTGTATTTCTTATAAATATGAATTACAAGATTCATTTAAAATAAGCTCGTTTTATGTTGCTTTTTTGTCCTTTTGTATTTCTCTGTAACCAACCCCTTATCTGTGATGATAAACTAGCTGACAACTCTGAATTGAATTACCCACTTGTTTGTTATCCCAAACATGGGATCTGTTACCACTGTGATGCATAACGCAAACCATCAAATGTTCCCATAGAGTTCTATTTTAAGTAATTCATTAATTTCCTTTCATTAAGTATCATTAAGGGTGGCAGGAGTCTGGAGCTTATCCTAGCACACATTATGTGGAAATCACTGAGCCACAATGGACAAGTCACCAGTCCACATATCTATTTGTATAATACTTAGATAGGGTGACATGCATTATATTTTGCCTACCAAAGAAACCTTGATTAAAAACGTTATCTTAGGTATAACCATTTGTTATAAACAATAAAGTGAACAAACTATTGAAATGTAAGCTGATATAACACTGAAACAAAAATCTAAAACCTCTAAAACCTGATTGTCTAAACAAATAGTTTCTTACAGCCAAAACAAGAGAAAAGAAGAGTTGAGTCTCAGTTGCGATTAATAGGCGGCACATAATGTTTACATAATTTAGTGAGACTGATTATTTAAACAAGAAATGGCTCCAATGGACCAATGTTTCCTAGGCAACTACTGCACAAAATTAAACATTATTTAGAAATAAAATCCTGTCCCAAAGTGCACTAGGACCTTATATTGTAATATAAGACTAAACCTTATAATGGTATAAAAAAAACTAAAATGTATGTGAACCACCAATCATAAGTTAAAGCAAAATAATTTGGAACATTGTAAAGATAAAATATTAACATTAAAGTAATCAGTAAACAGAAGCTTACCATCCATAGAGACATGAGGAGAATACCCACACTGAACATTTTTAACGTTTATTATTAATTGGAACTTAATCAAATAATAACAACATAACACTCATTAGTTTACATAATCATACTTTTTCCACAAAGATTGCCATTACAGTGAATCCAATAGTGAACTGTAGTCTCACATGGGACATGGTCACGATTTACATTAAGTGTCGGGTCCTTACACTGGAGTAGCACTCACTAGTTGATATTTCTCATGTAAAAAAAAAATATATATGACAAGAACAAAAGCAAGAAAACTGCTCACTGATCATGTCGGTGTTACTTCTCTTTGGCAAGAACAGCTTTGAATCATCTTGTGGGAGAAACACAAAATGGGTCTTTGACAATTTGAGGAGCACAATCCTCTAAAGTAGAAACTTTACATTTTCAGAACAAGTTCAGCATTTTGCTGTTTGTCCACTCAATCCCAGCTGTCTACAGCAGGTGATGGTAAAGACGTCCCCTTTAATTCCTGGGCTGGAACAAGATCTTCACAGTTGCACATTAATATTTGGAGGCTATTGTAGAAGCGGCACAGGCACTTAAAAGACATTGACACTGGCATACAATCTGGTACAATAGTCATGCAGTGATACAACATGGCCAACATGACCCGTGAGGTAATAATTAACATACTGAGGAGCTGAATGAAGCGTGGTCTACATTGATCCTGCCGCTTTTGCAGCAAAAAAAGACCCCAGTTTTAAAACGTTGAATACCCCGTGCAACAGAAATAAAAGGGAACCAACTTTAGCATCAGATTGTATATGTACAGTCTTATAGAAATATACACATCTACCAATTAGTCATCTTTTCTACAGTGTTGGTTTGTCTTTAGCTATCGAGCTTGTCCACAGCTTTTGCGGGTGAAGGCAAAGCCATCCAGTTTGCATAAACACTATCATTGGCATATCTTGTAAAGACTGGATTAGTGGCATCATGTCTGTTGAGGGGTACCGGGCTCTTCTCAGGCCAGTTCGGGTATGACATGCCTAAAAACGAGAACATATCATTTTTCTGCACTCAGTGAAATATTAACAGCGTGCAGACAGTAAGGCTCTCAAATCAAACTCTAGTGCCTGGAAAAAGCCCGTTGAAGTTATGGCTTTGTATAGGTTACTGTACATAAAGCAGAATATAGTGTTGTTTATTAAGTGTTTTACTAATGTTGGTACAAATGTATCTAGCTATAATGTTGCTCATGCCCCTTTCTGTAACTGTTCAAAAATGCAAACAAACAATAAATCCAATGTGTTCTTTACTTTTTATCGTCACCTGAGAGTTGCGTTCAAAAGCCTTACTGTTCCTCTGTTCAGCATTGTGAAACATTATAGATCAACAGCTAATATACATTAGAAAGTCAGGAAATGTAAGACAATCTTGAATTTAAAAAACACAGTGAGTGATTGATTCGACAAGGACCTGTTTCAAATGTTGCACACTGTTTCTACCAATGCAAACACATAATGGAATGATGACAATGGAAATGTGATGGTGTGAAAAATGAACTCATAAAAATGCAGACTAAGCATGAGTATGAGTGGTGCCATATAAATAAGAAGTAATGGTATGTTCAATATTTACAAATGTAGCATCATTTTGGTCAGCATTCGTGTTACATTAGAAGCAGGTCCAAGTAAAACAAAAAAGGTCAAGACACAAGATCTTTTTAACACTGAGCCCTCTCATTTACGATGAAATGGGAGATGTGTCAGCATTAATCAGCAAAAAAGGCATGCCTAGATCACAGTCACGCACACTTGACTACGGAAAAGCCAATCACAACTTGCCAAAAAAGAGAGCTTGTGTTGTGTGTCCTGTTTCTAAAATCTAGTAAATGCATGGGATATTCTACCATAGAGCTTGTTTTCAATCCATGTGGAGGGGAGGGTGCGAGGGAGAGGGGCGTTATTACAGTCCACTAGTGGAGTGTCCTCTTCAGAGAGCGCGTCGTCGTACAGCAGGGCGTCGGCAGGCGTGGACGCCGCCAGGTCCAGGTAATCCTGCCAGGAGCAGATGAAGGTGTGATTAGGCTGATTACTGACAGCACGCTAAGTCTGAGTGTGCCCGTGCTAAAGGTCACATGCAGGGCAGTGACGCACAAGTGGAAGAAAACTAATGTATGTTTAGACATTAATGGAAATATGAAAATAGAAATCTGTGATGATCAAATTAAGAGTTTTTAAAACAACATTTCTTTGGGTTTTGACCAAGTTAAAAGGTACACTTTTAAAAAGGGAATCCTGTATACATAAATGTATATATTAAACCTTTATTACTTTTATATAGGTAATTCTTAGATATCTTATTTTTATGTAAGTATAGGGGTCACCCTTAAAAATGGCTATCCATACATTAGACCGTTTGCAAAAAATAGTCCTATATATTATTTATAGGGCTGACTACTATAATCACACCATTTTTATAAAATGGTTTATAATATCTAAAGCTATATCTTTTTGGGGGATTTAGTTTAATATAAAATGAAGCAAATAATGTTCAGAGCTAAAACAAAGACTGTTCACAGTGTTTTATGTGTGTGCAAATATGATTTGTAGGAGTTGACTTTACAAAAGCTAAACATTTAAACAAATACATGTCTTTCTATTATTTAAATGTGAGACTGATTTGTTAAGTTATGAGTAAGTTATATGATATTTAATTATAATTTCTATATATAATATATATATATATATCATATATATATATATATATATATACATATATAATATATACATAATATATATATATATATCATATATATATATATATATACATATATAATATATATATCTATATATAATTTCAACACAGTATATCAGTTTGTGTCATTGCCTTCTTCATATTATATAGGATAGATTGTATATATTGTGTGTGTTAACCGGATAAATATTTGACATCTGCTGACAAAGACCCTGTGGAGATCACTGCAAATACTTTCGACTCTTTACAAGTGACACTCCCACTGCCTCTTCATGATAACAGGGAAGAAGCCGCCTGTTGTATTCTGGGATGTCTGCATTCCCTCGTCCTTAAATGCTCTATATTTAGCTCACCTCAACATCAGGGGCCTGACTGGTATGCTCTGTGATTATGCTGCCCAAGGCCACATTTTAGCAGTGCTCCTCAAACACTAATTATGGTATCTACAGCGTTTGCAAAGAGTGACGGATCATGGGTAACGCAAAACATATGTGTAACTCTAAACAGCAGTACACGATGTTTACCAGAAATGCTATACTGCTAACTGTAGGCCAGCTGCAATTCCAACAGGAGTGGAAAGAAAAAAACCTGCCAAAGCTCAATGGTGCATCACTAAAGTTGTGTCCAAATTGCCTGGAAACAGACTGATTAATAGCTTCCCCTCACTGCTTTCCTGTGGAACAATATGAATAAGTTATCATAATGTGTTGTATAGCTTCACCATACCCGACTTTTCACCATCATCTTTTCCAGTTCTTTGCTGATGTCTGAGAAATGCTGCCTCTTTTCTGGTTCTTGTTTCCAGCATCGAATCATGAGGTTGTACCTGCAGAGGGGAAACGTTTTACAGTGAGTGAGATAATTGAATCCTCCGTAACAGTAATTTTCCATGACTTTCTGTCTTAATGTGGTGGTTGGGATTTATTGCACTCTGTGGAGAGGCTGTGGAGAGAAAGTGGAGCTCACATTTCCTCCGTGCAGTTCTCTGGCCTCTCCATCCTGTAGCCGGTCTTGAGCAGGTTAAAGAGGCGTTCAGGAGCGATACCTGGGTAGGGATTTCCTCCCAGTGTCACTATCTCCCACAACAGCACACCAAAGGACCAGCTGGAAAAAGAATAGGAGTTCATAAGAATGTTTTGATAACATATAATGGAAATTCTTAGAGGAATAATTTAACAACTTTGGAAATATTCATTTTTACTTTGGGAGTTGGATGAGAAGATTGATACTACTCCAGTATCTGTCTGTTAAATATAGAGCTGATTGGTATAGCAAGGCTCTGACTGAAGCTAGCAAAAACTGCATACCAGCACCTTTGATTCTCACTATTTAATATATGATATCTGATTAAAAAAAGGTTACATTGTGGTTTTACAAGGTGTTATGTGTTTGTATTGAATAAACTACATATAACATGTTCATTTGGGAGCTTTTGAAGTGCTGGTGGGCAGATTCTGTTAGTGTTGACAGATCCAGCAACCCAGTCTCACTGCATTTTGTGTTATAGTCACGACATTTAATCTATTGATTCGTGTTCACCAACACGATTTCCCCCTTTTTTTCGTGTCACACAGAACGATTTTAAAAGCAATGTATTTCTATTGGTAGTATGTTTCGTCTTTTTGTCCGGTCGGGCCTGCGCACAGCTATGTGGTTCATAAAAACATGTTCTTGCTCAATATCAAGCCACGATTATTGTTTTTATTTTAAATCTTATAATGTCGCACTTTTTTTGCCGTCCGCGAGGAAAAGAAATGTCGCTCAGAGCCTCAGAATACTGAAATATGTATTTTTTAAATCTTTTTTTCCTTCTAATTATTTGTTATTCTTTCAACAATAACACACAATTATCCTTGTTTTTATTTATTTGTTTAATTCTATAATCTCTGGCTTTTTTTTCAGGAACTGAATTTCAAAATAAAGTCACCGGAAACAGACATAGGCGATACACACCCACTGAACTGATTACCCAAGATCCTCAGCTTTGGTTTAAGCTCGGTGATTGGATGTTTTAGCCGCAATGCCCGTTGGGATATGGTGTTAATGCGATAGGTTTTTCCTTTTTTGGAAGTGTTTCCTTGTACGATGTGAGGGTCTAAGGACAGAGGGTGTCGTATTGTCATACTGATATTCTGTACAAACTGTGAAGACCACTGAGACAAATGTAACATTTGTGATATTGGGCTATATAAATAAACATTGATTGATTGAAGCTAACCAGCTTCTGATTGTAGCTTCAGATTTATCATATAGATATGAGAGTGGTGTCAAAACTCTCATCTCACTCTCAGCAGGAAAGGGATACATGAATAACGTTTCGTGTAATATGCTATTGGTACTCACACGTCACTTTGTGTTGTGTAAATGTGATCAAACAAGGACTCTATTGCCATCCACTTAACAGGTATACGGCCCTGGAAAACAGAGGGAGACATGGTTAGGTTTATTTAGAAGATGGTTGTAAATACACTAGAAGTACTAGAGTACTTTTCTTTACCTTGCTCCTCTTTACATACGAGTCCTCTTCATACACGTCTCTGGAAAGGCCGAAGTCTGAGATCTTCATCTTTCGCCCTTCGGCTACCAGGACATTTCGTGCAGCAAGGTCCCTGTGAACAAGCTGTCGGACCAAAATGCTCATTTAAAGAGACGTTCAGTGCTTACACAACAACATTCGAAAGAGACTTCAACTACTTTCAACCCTTACACTTTAACTTCATCTTGAACATCTTTCAGTACTTCGATTTGTTAGCTTCTTTCAGTGTATCTATTTGGAATGCAACTGCTTCAGTATTTCAACTATTTTGAATGTGTTCCATACATTTGCTTTTGGAAATTGATTATTTTCCAGTTTGGCAAATACCTTCATTTCTGCCAGGTATTGCATGCCTCTGGAGATCTGCCATGCAAAGGAGATCAGGTCACCCATGGTGAGCGCTCTGTCGTCTGGGTTCTCCAGATAGCTGGAGTTTCGGTTGGAGTCTCTGCTCATGTAGCTCGGGCCAACTTTCCGACTGTCGCGCAGGAAGTTGCGCAGCGACCCAAACTTGGCGTACTCCACGATCAGATACAAAGGACCTATTCAGAGAAAAGCAGCACTTAGAGAGTCCATGTGCAACACACATGTCCTGGGAGGATAGCAGGAGTGAGGCCTTACCGTCCTGGCTGCACGCTCCGAACATCTTTATGACGTGTGGATGGTTGACTTGCTTCAGTAAAGTGAATTCTGACAGCAGGTCACGCAGCTCGCTATGGGAAGCGTTTTCTGTCATGGATGAAAAGACGGGATTGTAATGATAAATTAATTAATCTCTCCAGACATTCACTTCCCATACATCACCATTATTCCCCACCTTGTCTCTCTCTTACCTTTAAGCATTTTCACAGCCACAGTGGTGTAGCCAGCTTTTCCTTTCAGCCTGAATGCTGTCGCCTTGACAACTTTCCCAAACTCTCCTTCTCCTAAAGTCTTGCCAAGTACAAGGTTCTTACGAGGAAACTCCCACTTAGGATCCTCCTGTTGAGAAACACATTGATATGTTCGAAACCAGTTCACCACACTTTGCTGAATAAAAGTGTCACACGCCCAAAATAAGCAGCTTACAGGCATTTTAAAGGTGTCCGTCTCGATGGAGTCCTGCGAGCCGCGGCGAAGGTTACCGGGGAAGCTGATGGGGTAAGCCTGAGCCGGCCGGCGGAAAGTCATCTCAGCGGAGGCGATCGGAGGCTTGGGAGAGTTCTTGTGGTAGCGGTGGATGAAGTACGAGGACAGGAGGATGGAGATGATGAAGGAGAGTAGCAGAGCCGTGGCAATGATGGTCTTACACATGTCGTCACATATGACCTCTGCAGGAGAGCATGTTGCACAATACTGTTATTTTCAGAAAAGCAGCAATGTATTTCTCTTTCTTTTTATTGAATTAGGAACACTTTATTATCATTAGTCAGGGCTGGGAGATAATTCAATATGATAATTTATCACAATTCAATGCAATTGTATCTTATTATGTTAAATATAGCTAGATATAATGATACACAGTAATTTAATTGATAATAATAGGCACAGACTAATTCAAATGTCTCTGAAAATCTGATAAAAGTCAGATAAATCCCGCTATTATATTCATCTGATTATTTTGTATTTGTGTGCAAACATGTAAAAATAGTCACTGTATCGCTGGTAATCTTTTATAATTCATTTTGCACTAATGTTCTTAATTAATTTGTCAAGTCTATAAATCACAAAGGAGTATACAACAAAAATGACCATCTACGTATTATTGAACTACTAGAAAACATGTAAAATCATCATATATCCTTACGGAGATATGAAATGACCTATATAGTTATGTAATATTTTTACCAAGCCCTATTGAAAGTTGTGTGTGATTTATGGCGACTCACCCTCAATATATACCTTCTCACAGACGCACCCCTCAGAGTGGCAGTAGCAGGTCCCATAGCCAGCCTGGATCCCATTCCTCAAGCCTCGTTCATGACCTCCAGTAACGGGTTCCTCTGCACAGACAAACAAACAGTCAAAATGCTTTTATTCTTAGATTTATATGTGATATGGATGTGATTTACAGCTTTACATTTGTAGAAATCCATGGGTGTAATCAAAATCAAGCCATGTGTTTCTTACTTGTACAGTCTTGTGGACATATGGACGGATCTTTGCTCTCAACTGCATCGCAGAAGCTGTCCGGACATGTGCGCAGGTCAGGGGAGCAGGTGGAGTAATCTTTAGATAAACCTAGGACTTAACACAAAGGAGAGAAAAACTGAAGTGCAAAACATTACCAGATGACAACAAATGTTGGAGTCTTTTGCTGGGAATTCTTAATTAGAAAAACTGGAGGGGAAAAGTACCACTAACTCTTTTAAATAGTGATGGTATTTAAAATGTATCAATTTATACAATTAACGGCAGCCAATGTATTTTAGGTTTGCCTCGATAATAGCCAGAATTTAAGTCTTTAAAAGAAAATGTATCAGCAACAATACATGACTTTGGGGACCTTCTGTTGCCACCATGTGGTGCTGTTAGTGCTTTTTCTCATCGAAATTAAGAGCACATTTTCCAAAACTCTTGCAAAAAGGATGTTAGTGGTTCTGGTCCTTTAATTTGTTCCATTACCACCACTTAGGGAAACATTTGGTTCTACTTAAATTACTGTAATGTCTCATAAATAATGTTGACATCATTCAGTGAGAAAAAGATGTTATAAGGGTTCATAAAATAAAAAGTACCTTTCTTAGAGCCTTGCCTCCACTGGCATCTCCCTGTTGTGGCCCCCAGGCCTCGGACAGACTCACAGACTCCTCGCCGACTGTTATATGAACATGAAAGGAACCGCTGGCTCTCCTGGCTGGCCTTGTTTGCTGTGTACAAAGTGCCAAAAACACACATGGTTAAAGACATTTGGGAGTCTTCACATGTGCCTGCGGTGGTGCTGAACGTAAGGAAGTGAAACACTGTCCTAAATAGCAGCCTGTGATTACTGTTTCCAGAGAACTAACTTAATATACTTTGCTGTTTACTAATGTATATTAAAGATGAGCACAGATTACATTAGGATTAGAAGAATTAAACCCTATCTTTTTTAAACCTAATGATTTTTTAAGTGGACTGTTCTCACCTTCAGCATCCAGTATGATGTGGATCTGCGTGCTGGCCTCCAGCTGTGTGTGCTCCTCCTGGGCTACAACGATGTACTGCAGGTCCTCGCACTCGGGCCTGCGCAGCGCCTCCGTGTCGTTCACATAGAGCAGGCCCCACATCTCGTCCGGGGCCTGGGTGATGCTTATGGCTGTGTAGCAGGACTGCACCTCCACTGACGCGTTCTTATCGGGCACCTCCAGCCGGTATGTGACCCTGAAGCCATCGAACTGCTGGCAGTTTTCCACACAAACTCTGCCGACCTGAGAGCAGATGGGATAGGAGATTGACATTTTAAAAGACACTAGGTGATTTAAGTGGAAGGTTGGCACAATATACCTTTTTAGACTGCTTTATTACAGAGATCTTGATTTGTATCTTTTACTGAGCCAGCAGATGGCAGTCTCTCAGTGTTTTTAGAGGTGAGTCAACACTTTAGCTATTAAAATGGCTATATATAGCTAGTATATTTAACCTATATTCATCACTAGGGACATTTTTGGCTGTGTCAATGCATGTGTAATAACATTTGGCAAGGGTGTGAATTTTTTCATTGAATTTTGGAAGTTCATCCTCAGCTCCAATAATATATCCATAATAAACTGTCTAGCTAAAATACAGACCCTTAAGGACAAATATGTCCCCATCGAACCCCATTACAGTCACAATTCAGCAGTTTTATTCAGTGTAAAAATACTGCATTGTATTGTGTTAGGCTTTAAATGTAAAGCACTGGCTTCAAAATTGTAGTTTTTACTATTTTCTACAAGATTGAGTCTCATGTTTGCCCTACGGGACAAATGCACCAAAAAAAAAATCAATGTTGCAAATCATTGACATATTCCAGACAATACAAAATAAATCGAATCAAATAGTTAAATCTTGCAAACTGGCGTTTAAAGGATTTAAATGAATGAATGTTTGGTAGTGATGATTAGGACTGAAGTTGGTTTAAATAACTGAAAGGGCGATATAATCTAAATGTATATTTTTGGAAGTATTTAAGGGGGACTTTTTTATCCTCTAAGGACATCAAAGCAGTTTTTTAAAAGTGAAACAGAAGGGTAAAAACTAAGTTAAGTCTTATAAGGGAATATAAACTTGCATCATCAAAACAAGAGTGCTTTAACCCCCTGTCGACATTTTCTTTGTTGCATTTTTCACATAGAGGCGTTCTTTTACCAAGCCTGAGCCCTTCAGTTGGATATCTTTTACTTCATCTTTATCATCATAACAAATGTTGAAGTGATGCCAACTACAATTGATGTGAGTTACTAAAAACCTGAAAACAATTTGAACCTTTCCTATAAGACAGCAGCAGACTAAGCTGAACAATCAAGATTCATCTAAAAAGCATTCATGAATACCTGAGCATAAAGAGAAGCTCTGCGTGTTAATGTGAACATATGCGTGACGTTGTTGAAGCGGATGTGCACAGGTAAGATAGTGACGTTGAAGTGCAGCAACACGTTTCCCTCCAGCCCGGGGTAGGTGGTGTCATTGACCATGAAGTCCAGCTGCACGGTGCGGTTCTCCGTCACCACCAGGTTCCTCTTCAGGACAAGCTCTAAAATAAAGGGGCAAACATGAGTATTAAAACTACAATGATCATAAAATCAGATGATTTTTAGTAGCCCCTGGGTCACGTACGGTAGTTGTGAACGGTCTCTCGAATTCCTCCAACAGCAGCTTTCTTTTCACTGAAGGTGGCTTTAATGTCAAATGTTTCCTTTATCCACGTGTCATTATTGAGCAAGGTCCCCACATATTTATTGTAGGGCTGGTCAATCGGGAAGATGGGGGTTAGATCCCTGTCGAAAACAAACAAAGCGCCAAAAGACCCATCCTGGAAGAAAAAATTACAAATGTGTGAAGTCGATAATATTAGCCCACATTGTGTCTTAAAAACAATAAAAACTGATCAGATCTGTATGCAGTGAGGGCCTGGTGAGAAAAAAAAAGGTCTGGGGATCCTTCTTCTGCTCTAAAAATGTCTCCCATGTGTTTAGGATTTAAAAACATCTGATAAAATGGTTAAGCTAGGATATCATTTTTCAAAGTTATGGCAGGCGAATTTTATTTTAAATTTCTCTGTAGGGGGAATGTTCTGTTTGTTTTTGTAACACTCTTTTTGGCCACAAGTGGTAAAAAGCAAATCACCTGCTGCTTTGTCTTTTTCATCCACTTGTTTTCAGAGAACTAAACGAAAAGGTAACTTTGAAAATTGACCCAGAAAAAGCAGGTTTCACGGTTGCAAAATGATTATCATTGCTTTTTTTTCACCTTATCTCAAGTCATGAATTTAGGAGAGAATACCATTAAAATGAGATGACAGATCTTTTCTCTGTGTTTTATAAGTCTCCTTACCTTTGTCCGATTAAAGCTGATGACGATATCTGCTGTGTCTGTCCCATTCACATAGGGTGCGTTATCGTCCTCATCGTTGACAAACACATCCAGTGAAGCCTCCAGCTTGGTGATGAACCTTTCTGTCCGGACTGTGCAAACCAGCAGGAGTCGGTAGCATTCACTCTCTTCACGGTCCAGAGGAGCCGTCACCACCAGCTCTGTGGTGTTCTCGTCCACAGCAAACGGTGCTGGGGTATCTGTGGACAAGAGAAACACACTAAATCAGGTGTGTGTGAGTGTATGTGTTTAAAAATCCACCGTCTGAAATACAATACATTGAGTCAGAGATGGTATGGGTTTCATTCAAAGCAGGACTACAAACTCTTGGTAAACAAGTTCACATGGCAACTACAAATTACAGTGATGGAAAAGTAGCATTTTGCTAGCATCCTAGTTTGATGGGACAGTTCACCACAAAATCAACATATTTTTCCCTTTACCTGTATTACTATTAATCTCAGTTTTGGATGGAACAACATGGCCGTGCCAGAAAAATACATTTGAGAAAACTAATATTCAAATACATATTAAAATGAATTTCCTGCATTAAACTGCTCACAACAAGGTCTGTGGATCATCTTGAGTAACTGGGTCGTCATTTCTGGGAAAAGATTGCTGTTGAGTTTTTCAAATGTATTCTTTTGACGCTTTGAGCACCACAAGCCAAGTACCATCTGGTTCCATTATATTGAAAGAAGGCAGACATCTCTGCAGCCGATATCTTCAATCTTAATATGTGTGTTTTACAGCAATAGCATTAGCCACCATAGGCTACTGGTACCAGACCGACAGCTGTAACAACAACATTAGTGTTTAAATGTGAGGATAGTGCCTTTTTATTGCTTACAAATAACATATTTATATGTATGAGAATGTGAGAATGAGTCTCTCTTTATTGTGTCTGACCTGATTCCACATGGTAAGAGACGGTGTAGTTGGGGCAGACGTGGAGTCTGGTGAGACGGCGGAGTTGTCTCAGGGCCCCGGGGAACCTGTTCTCCATGATGTGGGGGTTGGACGTGTCTCTGTGCGGGAAGCATAGCTCCTTCAGATCAGTCTGAGCGCAATGAGGCAGTGTGGCGTTGACAAAGTCCAGGGTGATCCGAGTGGGGTTACTGCACAGGGGCTTCTTGGAGACCATGGCTAGCAGGAACAACTTCTTTACGGACCACGAGGGTTGATCTGAGCCAAAAACAAAAACAAGCCGCGTTTTAATCTCAGACAGTGCTCTTTTTGATGACTAAGCTCTTTTTTATGCCTGTATGCAATTACATTATCATCGTGTAGGCAAACAAAGCCAAAGCATTATTAGTATGCAAAGAGCATAAACGTCAAGAAGCTAATTTACTCTCATATGTATGGGATACCTGGCACTGTAAGGCGAGTATAGATTAAAATTCTCACTGGACAAGGCGAAATCGTTCTCTTCCAGGGTTTTGTTTAAGGACAGTATCCCAGTGTTGACGTCCAGGTGGAACCAGGAGCTGTGACGTCTGGTGGAGCTCGTCCTGCATAGGTAGTAGTGCGGCTGTTCAGAGTTGCTGTCCAGCATGGCGTGGACCTGGAGGATGGGTGTGCCAGCCACCTGGCCCACGTACACCGTCTCAAAGTAATCCTTCTGAGGGAAGTACAGCCCTGTTGCTCCTGCAGGAAGAAGACATTAACAGATGTTAAAAAACAAGCAGCAGTGCACCACAGGGGGATTTTCCCTTGAAAGAGAACACTGTGATAACTGGAAATAAGGCCTGACAGTACAGCTGAGTGTTATTACAGAGCAGTAAAACCGCAGTTATCAGGCATCAACAATACAATAGGAACAATACCCACTGACAATGCTGTCTGGCCACTGAATGGAAATGAACACATACATGGATTATGACAGGTTCAGTTTTTTTTCCATCTTTCATCTAGCGGAAATTGAAAGGAGGGGCTCAAATGACACTTATGCTGCTCTTTTAATGAATTTCTCATACGGTCAATAACATGTGGTTTCCGATTCTCCTTGTGTTCACCTTGAGATGTTTAATTACAAGGGATAACATGATACTAGGGTGAAATGAATCATTACCTGCCAAAGAGGAGTGTGTATGTGTTCATGTGTGTTGCGGAAATCCATAAGAGCTGTGGCAGGCTGTGCGTTTTACAGGAAAATGGAGATGTGAGTGTTCCTCCTGTAATTATATCCCTGTTATGTTCCTCTTTGACGACGGTAGGCAACCATTTAGGGGACGCACTAATGTCATTAGCAGACAGCAAAACTAGATTTTCTATTTCTGTTGTTGCAGTTGAGGCCTCGTCTCTGGTTTCAGACATTGATTTAATTTTGTGGGGGTTGGATGACAGGAGGCCGAGCTGATGGATAAAATGTGGCCGTGCTTCCTGAAGGATGGAGATACACTCAGCGAGGCTGCAGCCCTTTTTATTAGACGTGTTCCTGAGACAAAAACAAACAGCAGGCCACTTGTTTGTTAATTCTTATGGGATTCAGTTTCATGACTCAGATTTTAGGGATGGTTTTCATTTTGCTAAATTTCTCGCAGCTAAATAAGGACCATTCATACTTGTGTTTGAAATAGTGTTTCCTTATAGTTTGTCTTGAGTTGTACTTGTTGAAAGCCAAAACTATACAAAATATATTTACAACAGAGGCAAAAGATTGATAAGCAACAATATGTGAAAATAATATGACAAAAAAAAGTAATTTACATATTTTATTAATAAACTAGGCTCTTACTAAAGGACCTTGCTATTTTATTTAGTTTTTCATAAGACAGGATATCATTTAAAGTCAATTTAGGATGTTTTTTGATAAAGCAGATGATTTCAGAGCAACCAAAGAGCATAAAAAGATGATTGCAGAGAAGATTAATTATTCTTTTAAGTGAAGCAATATGTATTCTATGACGCACATCGGAGGATGAATGATAATGTTGTTCCTCACAATAAACCCATTTAACTCCAAACATAATTCTTCGATAATAAAAAGTACAGGCAGAAACTAAATGACTCTACATGGATGGATGGCCTTAGTAGAACGACAATGTATAGCACACTTTAAATGTCTTAAAAATGTTACATTCCGCAGCACATGCCATCTGAATTTACTGGAGGTAACTTCCATAATAATATATAGGAGTTCCAGGAGCAGAATAACACAGTATGGGGTTTTTTGTGAGAAAATATAGGAAGCTAAATAAAGATAGTTAATCCAACCTCAGTGTAGATCGCCATATGTATACTTAAAGTGACCATTAGAGGGAGCTATTATCTTACTGACACATGCACAAACAGAAAGCAGCAGCTTAATCATTATCATGATTCATTATTTGACTAATTCTAAAAGTGTATTCATTTGATAAATTGCAAAAGATGCTGGATTAAACAGCATCTTTAACAAGCTAGAAAAATACCCGTTTCAACAGCCCTTTGCAGAAAGGGCTGTGTGATCCCACACATGTCAGTCATGAATCAAACACAGCAGACGACAGCAGCTCTGCAAATAAAACCAGAGGGTCCACCGCGTTAACCAGCGGGAGTTGAATGCATTTATGAATGTTGGCCTTGGCCCGAAGCCACGGTGGCTGCAGGAGCCTGTGCGACACAATTTGTTTATATCATTCAAAATTCAATTTCTCTCCAGGACTGAAGCCAAAAGAAAGCAAGCAGTTTATATCAAAACGAATTAATTGGATGGATCAAGCAGGCCTCTCTTAGCAAATGGCATCTTTGCCATGATGAAGATTTTCCAAAAGCATGACTCATTAGCTTCCCTAAATGATGAACAAGAATGACGGTAATATAGTAATGATATTTCACCTCAGATAATATGCACCGTTACCGCACACACAGGTTTTTTCTTACTTTCTTGTCTAAGGGACACTGAAAAATGTTTATTTCAGATTTGACATACACATGGACAATAGGCTGTTTTTAGGACAGCCTTGACCTCCCATAACTGAAAGTGTGTAAACACTACCACCATAAGCAGACCTTTTACAGCCTTTACACCCCTATAAAACTGATGCTGAGCTGCTATACACGTGTCATGTCTTCAAAAGCCGGAGTGAGTAATTTAGCAAACAAAGCCGGTGTTTGAACAGGAGGACTCTTGTAGCAATTCGTGTTTACAATAGATATCATGTACTGCTGAGTGGATGGTGAAATTGAACTTGTACGTCGCCTCACTTGTTTGATGAAAAAACAACAACAATGGAATAAACCTCTCACTCGTTTACACACGTATGCCTTTGACGATGGCAGATTTCTCCAAGTTAATTACGGCCTGTGTCAGTTCTGTCTCATATTTTAACCGTGGAAGGACAAAAAGGACACAAGCTCATCACAAAATCTGTAAGCATGTGCCACAGACAACAGTATGTCTAGGACTGGTTGGAACTGATAGGGTAGGACGCCCTCTCTCCGTCGTCCCAGACAAAGACAGGAACTCAATTAGCTCAATGCGTGCTTCGGCTGATAGATTTACCAGCTATGAGCTCATGTGCTAGACTAACCTAGACTGCCTCTAAAGTCTCAATGAAACAAAACGTTTTAACTCCCACCCAGACGTCCTCACTGAGCATCCTTGTCAACGACATGGCAGATAAGGAAAAGTGACCTGGCCTCTGTATGATTAATTCCTTCACTAATGTTGTTGGTAGGCTGGAGCTGCGGTGAGAGCCCAGTCCTGTGCCCTTTTTCCTCTCCCAAGGTCAACGTGCGCTGCATCTGTCCCTGGTAACGACCCATTGGAAATGCCATGTATCTGGCAGCAAGACCAATCAATAACCGTACTAATCAACAGTGATGCTGATTGTTTTTGTACTGATGAGACAGACGGGGAGAGAGGCTGATGGCTGCACAATCATCTCCGCTGCTGCACATAATACGGACCCACTTGTTTAGATGCACGGCCCGCACAAATATCACATCTACTGTTCATTTCACAGGCACAATTTAGCCCATCGATATCCTTTTTTTCAAATAATCCATCAGCTTTTACAAAGCAGCTGTAACCAGCAGCATCCACACAGTAATATCATGGTGATCTAAATATAATAAATATCATAATCACTCTGGAATCCTGATTGCTCTGCTTCCAAAGATGTAACAGCTTTGGGAATGGTCCTCTTCTAAAATTCAATTAACTAAAAAGCTGCACATTGAGCTATAATTCAACTTCTGAAAGCTATTATTGATCATAATGTTTGGAAATCTTTCGCTCTTAGTTTCCTGTGCCAGTGTGCATGATTGCTTCGTCATATCACACTGGATCCATCACCTGGATTTTAATAAAGGTCTCATTGTGATGCTTTTCAATCGCAAAACAATGAGTCGTAATGAGAATAGAAAGTCATTTCCTGTTAGGATGACAAAGCCATCAAACTTTTCATCAGAGTAATACGATATCTGATATCAGTTCAGGGGAGGGAGTCAGGCTCCAGGTAAATTACTCAGTTTACCGCGATGCATACCGTAACATAATAATCAATTACAACATAATGTAATCCAATTATCCTTCAGAGAATACAAGAGCTGAGATCCAATGAACCATGTTCATCAGTCATCAACAAATCTAATAAACATCTCCTCAGGGGTTAGCTGCAAGTACAAATTTGGTTTAAGAATTCCCGTGGGAGTGACAGTGGCATCAAATATTGAACACGTGGTACATCATGGACCTCCTGACTGAGTTTGACGCAGTAGTCATTAGAGTGCTTTGATAAAATATCTCTATCCTAATCACAGCGGTGGTACAAAGCCATCAGATTCACTGATGGGCACACAGATGTAGACAAAGACATTAGCTGCCTGTAGAAAAATACATTAATGTAATTTTATCGCATAGTTAGTTCACCGCCATTGGTTTCATAAAGGGTTTCATCAACTTCCCCAAATAACTGCGCCCAAAAAGAATGATCTGTGACCACAGCCAAGTGAGGAGGTTTTATTTGTTCCCAGGGAGGGTCCAATGTCCCGCAGTTCAATATTCTGTTTACTCACATTAACCGGCCTGTTTGTGTCCTTTTACTTTGAAAGTCTGTGAAAGAAATTGTCAAATTTGTAATGTCCTTGGTGCCATCTGAACGACAGAGGGTTTTTATGTAAAAATGTCACTCAAACGCCACTCAAGCTCTTGTTTGGGTTAGGTATGATCCACAAAACTGACCAAACCGCAAGGTAAATGTTATGTTTAGACTAACAAATGTTCAGACATACAGACAGATGGATGTATGTACTTCAAAACATAATGCTTCAGGTCTCTGCTAAAAGGTATGAGGTAAAACACAATGGGAACAATATTTTTTGTTGAGTTTTTGTATTAAAAAGGTACAATTTTACCCGCAAAAGCACAATGTAACCTTAGAGCCCATTTCTAGCACTCTACAACAGTAAAGTCAACTTTTCAAGGTCTTATGTTGTTAGGAACATATGACCCAGGGAACAAAGATAAAAGACCCCGCCAAAGGAAACAGACCCTTTATAGCTTAACACCAAAGTCATGCTAGCTACTCTGTGGTGCTGCCTCATCATGTGCTAACTATAGTAACATTATGCTAACATGCTCAAATGACAATGCTAATACACTGTGATGTTCAGCAAGTTAAATGTTTACCATGTCGATTATCATTGTGTAGCATGTTAGCGTGCAACAATGTGCACTAAACATATATTTGATTAAACATAACTCTAGGTATAGCAATCGTCAACATTGCTATCCCTAGAGCTACACTGCTAGCATGGCTAAAAGCCGACATGCATAGATATGGCCTACCTTGCACATATTGCCTATTAAACTTATGTTGAGGTCAGTTGTGCTAAAGAAATAAACATAAAATAATCCAATTAATTAAATAGAAAATGTTGTATCTGTGGGGCTGTATTACCACATTGCACTACTAGCCGACTATGTAGCACTTAACATTCTCAAATCTTTACCACTTTAAATCTGAAATATCATGCCGTACCTTAAATAAAAAAGGAACTGTAGCTTTAGCTTCTTACGGCTTGTTACATTGTGTGTTTCCACATCAGGTTTCACAGTGAATCCGATGGATTACAGTATGGAAACAAAGGGAGGGACGTTGCTTTATAGGATGGAGGGCACTGATCTTCCAGCGCAAATGGAAGTGAATCTCTCAGAGCTTCTGGCATTCGCAGCTGGTGGAAATGGTGGAGTGAAAGGCCGGTGGAAAAATAAATTCCAACGTGTTTACCCACTTCAGTAAAGTGAAGGAGCAAACAAAAGGACACAGGGTGATGCCAGGGTTGGGCTGGCAAAGGAGGGTCATGCAGCTAGATTCTCTTTTGGCAATAAGAAATCATGTTTAAATGAGCTTTCCCCACAATAATCAAAAGTGAGTTATTATAATGAACTTGCAGATTAGATTCCCATATTTAAAATAGTACAATTAACATCTTAAAGCTGCAAAACACACCCTGTTCTGCAGTGTCACAGGACCATGTGGATTTAGATGAGCTGAACTCACTCTTTTGTGTTGTTCATTGTTTTAAATGATGGGTCAAACACAGCGCGCTCCGCTAGGCTATACTGGAAAATAACTTGTCAAGGCCCATGTGAAACGAGAGGGCTAAATGCCCCGAGGGCGAAATTTCAATCAATGTCTTCTTGTCCTTTCACCAACGCAAATTAGATTCTACCCATGCATGAGAGGGAAGTGTGACCCTGAACTGACTAGAGGATCAGGCACAGAGCTTTGACAGGTAGGAGCAGCATCCTACAGACAGACAGCGCAGACAGCAGAGCCATAACTCCAGAGTTAGGGGTTGGGACTAAGCCTCAGCAATAAAAGTAAAAACAAAGAGGGTGGTTTCTTTCCATCAGGCATTTTATACATAAAAAAACATTTGTCCAGTTTCGTCAAAAACTTAGGGGGCATTGTTGCCAACATGGAGGAGCTATAAATGCAAATAGAAATCGAAGTTTCAAAGGCTGAAACTGATGCATTAAAGCTCTGATTCTGATCAAACCTTTAAGGACAATGCCACTATCTGAATAGATATATAGCAGCACTTACTTACTTTTATTGAGAGGACGGAAACTGAGACCAGATGTTGTGTGCCACATTCTTTTAATAAAAAGCAATAAACAATTTTTTTATATAAGACAAACTCTGCAGCAAACAACTCATATCATGATTTTTTCAATTATACTAAAAGAGACCTAGTGACAACTAGGGTAGACAACTGACACGATTTATAATGCATCCATAGCCAGCACAAAAAAGGTGCTTTACTAAATCAAATACTGTAATAAAGAAGGAAATGAAATAGGAGCATGGATCACATGAGATGTATTGGTCTTGTCCTTCTCAAAAGAAGAAGATGCTGATGAAAATGATCATGTGAATGCAAGGAGAAGGAGGAGCAGCTAAAGAGGATGGCAACAACGCTTCCTCTGGGATGTCGGGGGTCATCACTGGAGATCACCGCTTGGTTAAGGTTGCAGAGGTCACAGGGCAGAGCAGGGTCAAAGCTACAGTAGCAAGGTCACGGTGGAAGGTAAACGGATCGATGCTCTTATGTGAAAACATCTGTGGCTGTTCTTAGGGGAAGTGATGGATTACACAGAAATGTCTGTTAAGAGGATTTGGTTCATTTAAATAAAGGCTTTCACCAGGTTGAGTCATAAAAGGGACTATTGAATTTCAACTCCATAAAAAAAACCCCGTTATATTCTCCCTGACAGCAAAATCTCAAATCTTAACAAAGCAATGACTGACCAGAGGATTTCAGATTCCAGCGATCTTTTTGAACATGATAACAAGGGAACCTTTTTACATCCAAATTTCAACCATCTCCATAATCTCTCACTACAAAGAGGTGTCCCAGCCTTTAATTCACTCTAATTGATTTCCTGAACTGCCTTACTTAATGTTACTCCTAAGTGCATGACCAAACAGCAGCATCTAAAAATGCTGATTACTCTTAGTGAACGCTGATTGCCAATTTCCTTGTTTGATTACCTCAGCAAGAATCACTTAACTAATGAGTTACCTGTAACCTTGAAAAGTGATGATGCGAATAACACTAAGTATCTTTTTTTTCCCCTTAGATTTAAAAAAGTATTAAATGACTTGTGTGGTGATGAAAACGCCATATCGGATACAATAAGTGCATCACTGGCATATAACACTAGTTTAGTCCTTAAAAAACGTATAAGGAAGTGAAGATGAGTAAATGGTGGAAACAGTCAGAATATCCTCCAAAAGTGACACAAGAGCATCAGCTTTATCGTCATATCCAGCAAAATCAATCTGATGTGTCCTTTTGAAGGAAGTTAACATCCAACGTGCAATCTGAGCGTTGTGTGTACTTGTATAACAGGCGATATTTTCCTAAAGAAAACAAACAGCCAGTGTTTGCCCAGAGATAGGAGCAGCTGCTGCACACCTGCCTGCAGCTCGCCTCTCCTCCTCTCCGGACCAGTGTAGGTCTTTTGTTGCAACAAACAGGCAGGTGAGGAGCGACCGCCTTTGCGTAGGGTGTACATTTCAGCACCCGTTTAATTACCATCATGTCCTTGACATGTGAAATCGAACTGGCCCAACTGCGTTTATCTATAAATATCAGGCGTCAGTGGCAGTACATGCAGGACAAAGCCGAGCTCAGATGTAAATGTATGCAGGGTGTGTGATGGGAGCATCATGTCTACTGTAAGGGTGATGGGAATACATCTCTTAGGCATCTGTGCACAAACTACACCGTCTGTCACATTGAACAATTAGTAAAGAGCATTACATAGAACTGTGGCACCTTTAACATTTAATTAATAATTTTAACTGAAGAAAAGTGCTCTCTTGGGCGATAACGTATAGGCCTGTAGTTTTTGAGTACTGTAAGCCCAGTTTTTCAGGCACTGGCCTACTCACATGAACATTGACACCATTTGTACATCTTATTTCCACTAAAACATGAGTTGATAATATTACTTTCACACTCTACAAGTAACATCTGTTAAGACTAAGTCCAAAAACAAATCCAGGAATTCGACACAATGGCCTATATTTGGCCAAGCTTCACATTTGACTGCCACACAGTGAGATTTGCACACTCCTGAGCTATGAGAGACACTTTAAATATAGACGGCATGGCAGGACAGTGTTGGTACAGTTGGGCAGTGGGATTGTGAATGGGATTATAATATTATAGTATACGGCGGTATTCATTTGACTCCAGGTTCCAGTGTGCCATACCACGCATAACATCCCCAGCGCACAATGCAAGGATCACTTTCTGCAGCATGAAACAGTGCCGGCATTGAGCCAGTGCCATTTCAGAATAGTGCTTGGAAAAGCCTTACAATTCACAGCAGCTTCCAAACATGTTGCAATTTGTAAAAGCCATTTTACCTCTACACAGGAGAAGCATATCTCATGTGTATTTGTTAGTTGCCATCTAGACTTCAGGTCTACTGGGTCTGTTTGCAGCAGCTCAGACATTTTGTATCTGTATTTCTCTTTGGTTTTTGTTTGTTTTCAAAAACAGTTTTGCAGAAAATCTTACATTTTGTGGAAATAAAATGCATTCCAAACCAGATATATCGTTTTTGCTGTGCTCATACCTCAAGTAATTGCCTTTCTGACTGACAGAGATGAAGATGCTTAAAACTAAAACTGATGATGTCAGATTAAGAGATAATGTCTTAAACAGGGAAGATGATAGATAAGAAAACACAATTTAAATGTTTTCCTATGGATTAACATTTATGTCACATGGCTAAATATGTGGGTTATTTATATTGCATGGTTTTAGTGTGTTTTTTTGTAATACTTTACCTTTAGGTTTGATTAAATTGCAGGTTTTAGAAATCATGCAGTATAAATAAAACAAATAGATTATTTGCCATGTGACAATTAGTCTATACTTTTTCTTAATGAAATTATTAGTATTTTTTCTCTTTCTTATTTCAAGTAAGCCACTTTATATATTTAAAATCTTGTGGCCCATCAGCATGTCTAGCATTAAATCTGATGATGAAGCTTACCTCCCAGCAGCAGCAGCAGCAGCACCACAGCGATGTTTCCCCGAGAGAAACCACTACTTGGCCTCATCTTCGCGAACCATAGGTGAAAGTTTCTCAATGAAAATTAAAGTTCCTTTCAGCGACGAATAATAAAGAAAAAAGCGATAAAAGAAAAGCAGGTGTTGCGTAAACCAGAGAGTGTCCTGTGCGCGGTTCCGGTGAGGGGGATGCGGTCCTCAGTGTCCCGCAGACGGGCTGCTGTGTGTGTGTGCGGCTCCGGGGCTGCTGCGGGGCTGACTGGCTGTCTGTCCAGGGGGAGGAGGCTCTCTGCTCCACTCTCTGCTCCACTCTCTGCTCCACTCTCTGCCCCGCTGCTTCCTGCAACAGCAGGCAGCTCAGCATCTACAGGAAATTTAAGAGCATAATTTAACAGCAGGTCAGTCACCTCATTAACACTCTGCGTGGGGGAAAAAATATTAACAATTATCATTAAATGGGTAATGGTGCATTTTAAAGGTGCAGACACTGTTTTTTAACAAAGTGTAGCAGGTGCGTTCATTTTAATCACTGCTTTATTGGAACAGTGCTGTAATCATTTATGTGTGAAATAAGGATTATTTCTCATAGAGCACCTTTAACATTAAGATGTTAACTCCAGTGTCATTTGAGAAGCATCAGATGAACTGCTAGTGGGGAGGTGACAGAGTTTTTAGCTGCATGGTGAACCTGCTGAACTGCAGCCCTCACAATCATGTAGACTAGAGTAATGAGACTTGACTAGCATACACGTGCTTTGTTTTTCTGCTACTTAAGTACCATTTTAAAGTACTTGAGTATTTCTTTTTGATGCTATTTTATACTTCTTCTTTACTACATTTCAGAGGTTCATGATGTGCTATTTAATCCACATATATTGACCAACTTTAGCTCATTTAGAGATTCAGATAAAAAAAAACCTGTATTCAACTATTGAAATATTATGTATAGACTAGTTATGGATTAAGCTACACAGCACTATATAAAGTAATTAAAACCAGATCCACCTTTATTTAAAGAGGCAGTATTATGCTTTTTGGGGTTTCCCTTTCCTGTAGACAGAGTGCTATACTGTAGCTTTTTTGCATGTAAATGGTCTGCAAAGGCTAAAATCCCAAAGTTCAAGTCAGAGGGAGCTTCTCTCCCACACACTACCCTGAAACGCCTCTGTTATATTCCTTTGTTAGCTTCTGAGACATAGTTACATCACTACGTAACACTTGCACTTCCATTGTCTTGATCTCCAACACATTATACGTGGCTAAGGGGCAGGACATCTCGTGTTGACAATTCACAACACAGCCGGACAGCTAACCAATCAGAGCAGATTGGGCTCTGGTTTCAGACAGAGGGTGAAAAGAGCTGCTGCAGCACAGGCAGTATGAGAAAAATAAAGAACTTTTTGAACATTAAAGCATGGAGACATGTCACAGTAGACAGAAAAAACAAATATGAAACCTGAAATGAGCATAAAAGGGCCCCTTTAATACAACAATTTTGATCTAATAAAAATAATATGAAAGATTCTGAAAATGGCTTTAATGCACAATAAGAAATTGTACTTATAGTATATTTTGCTGATAATACTTACATTATTTTACTCAAGTAATTTTCTCAAATGTAGGACTTTGACTCGTAGTGGAGAATTTTTAGTGTGGTTTTACTTTTACTTCAGTAGGAGATATACAATTCTTCCACCACTGCTTATACCTGCCAGAACAAAAAGAGCAAACAGTTCAGTGACTTTAGGTCTAAAGACTGCCTGTCGTTTAAGTGAGGGATCTCTCCGTGACGGGGTGGTGTGGAGTGATGCATTGCTGCAGCCTCAGGGCAGGACACCAGTCAGTCACACAGCAATCGCTCTCCAATCAATGTCCCTGCATGGAGCAAAAACACTGGAGCTCACTGGGCTGCAGAGGGACAGCAGGGCTTCTCAGGAGCTCCAGCAACTTTCACCAAGTGGAACAAAACACTGCTGTTATATTTCACCTGCTGTCTTTGGTTTGCTCAATATGTTTCCTGGGTTTAAAAAGGAAGACAAATGTGAGGAAACCATAGACGGTATATAAATAGGAAGAAAGCTTTATCAGAAGTAAGCAAGACCTACAATTTTTTTTAGATGTAGTCAGTTTATATTTATAGTAAACATGTGTGTTGAACATCTAATAATATTCAGATTAGCTGTTTAAATGTTTATTTTGTAGGCTCAGCCACAAAACATTTTGGGGATGATATACTATCAGTACAATCCTGGACACAATCACTGGACCCAATTAAAAAGAAATCACAACAGAAACAATCCATTAGCCTTAAACAGCTTTTTGAGATATAGGCTACATTGAGTTTTAAGTTACGTCCAGTAATTTACACGGAATTACAATTTTCTTTGTAACAAATAAAAAGGACTGCTAAAAGAACAGTAAAAAGCACCAGAAGTATTGTGTAACCGTGTATGGGAATACAATTGTGCTTCCTAGTTTGAGCATGAGAGTAGATGGCTAAGAAAAGTGTGTCCATGTATTATTAACAGCTTAGTAGTTTAAGAGGGAAAAAGACTCAAGGCCGTTACTTAATGTTTCCGTTAAGGTTTCGGACATGATAAAAGTGTTATCGAGCCATCCCTAAAATAAAACCCTTTAATTACATTTAAATTAAAGTTATTGCTTGAAAATGTCCACTTTCTTCAAGATATGTTTTTTTCAAATGTGAAATTGACGTCAATATGTTAACAGATACCCAAATGGTCACTTACACGATATAGGAGGATGAATGTAATGCTGCTCTCTGTATCAAGGGAGAGCGTGCAGATCATTACGTGATATAAGAAGATGGGGTCTCAATGAGAACATTGCATCTGGGATAAAGTTTCCATATGACAGACTATAGGTATCAAGAGACATAATGCTCAACAAGAATCAATAAAGACAAGGAAATGTTGTGGTGTAGTCATGGTATGTGGAACCACAATGCTATCTTATGGGCTTTTTATGACAATGTTACTGTATCATGGGTTCAGCAGAAATGTTATCTGCAACATAAGCACAATGCTCATCATCTCGGCTGTCTAGACCTTGCTATGGTGACCCTTAACATTTTTTCTTGGGATGTTTCTAATGGAGCTCATTGTGCTGTTGTAGTTCCTGTAAGTCTCTCAGAATGACTCAGCTAAATGCTTACATTTAAATACAAAGCATTATCAATGCATGCAAACACACAACGATATTTTTAGACCCCCGTGGTAAGTCACTATTGATTTTATTTTCATCTCGAGGAGATGTGTTTCCATTTCTTGCACAGTGGTTTGGGGAAAGCAATTATGGACTAGAGTCCTGTTCAAAAAGGCAGGATGCACCTACAGGGATCCAGACTGTTCATAAGATAATTACCAAAATCACTACAGCATATTACACCGTTACTACGCCATCTGAGCAGTGTGTAATATGATTTCACTCTGGAAGAGCAGCGTGATGCTGTCATTTCATTAACTAGATGTTAATTTCATGATGTACACAGCACCTGACCTGATGCTAAAGTCACACAGCATGTTCAATACCGTCATGTAAACAAAAATATCAATAAATCACTCAATACTCAACCACGTGGAAACGTTATGTTCTAAAAATAAGCCCCGTTTCAGTTGGTGAGCATGTGTTGAATATGTAAAATGGGCTCAGGCTCTTGAAGGCGGCTCGTTGTGTTCTCTGATGAATTGGATTTCTGTAATTTCCCTGATTTTCTAATACAATGAGTGCAAGAGGTGTCGTTCCCATTAATGACACTCCTTTGTGAGCCGTGCATCTTGACCCCTATTAAAGTACTGTCACTCGGACAGCAGATGGTATCCACACACGCACAGAAGGGGAAGGAGTGGCCATGGCAACAGACTCATAATGGCTGGCCTGGTGTGTAGTGGAATCACTCGGCCTAATTTGTTAAGTACCACCTCAGTATATTTGATTTAATCAGTCTATTCAGTGCATAAAACAAGTGGCATCAAATAAATTCACAGCTGCCCACACTGACGGTGGAATAAACATCTTGTTTAGGTTTTCATAGATATTCATACATTTTCATCATTTTTGCTTTCATGCAGCCAGTGTTTGATAAAAAAATGTAAGCATTAGTACAACTCAATTGTACATGGGTAGGTTGTACATTACTGGAAAGTAAACTAAACTGATTAAGCCAAAAACAGTCGGACACATTTCCCACAGAAGTTATTGTATTCCACATACCTTACAATAAATAGTGATTGTTAGAGTTGAACAGTAAAATAATGGTATCTACAGAATGTAAAATAGGACAGATGAGCATCCTGGTTTATATTTTGAGGAAGAATTTCTTCCTGTACAGCAGGTAAGCGATGAGCACCCACAGTGCAGTCCCCCACAGGCTTTGGAAGAGCTGCTCCCAGTGGCTCTCCTGGAAGCGCATCTCCCAGCTGAACGGGAAGTAGAACCCCAGGAGAGAGTGACCAACATATACAAAGATGGAGTTCATCCCTGAGGAGGGGAGGAGAAGAGACAAAAATAAGATCCTATCGAACAAGACTGAGGAAATCTCATCCTACTTTGCACATTTGTAAAACACATTACGGATAAAACAACTGTATTGGGGGAGGCAGTGCAAAAGCTTTAAAAATAAAAGTGAAACTTTACTTCAAATGCTTGTCTCCGAGTCTGACCAAAACCTCAGCTTGACCAAATCAGTAATAACAACCCCTACAAAGCTATCAAACCCATTTTAGAAAACCTTAACAATGTTAACCACTGCTGAAGAAAAGTTCTACAATATACAAACCAAGGCTGCTAAAGGATTGTTACTACTGCAAATAAACAGATAGCTAGCTTTGTGTGCCTCTTCCACTCTGACAGTAGACTCCTTTAATATTAGCTACACTAGCTAATCCAGGGGGCTAATAATTACTGTGTTACTAATTACTTTGGTCAAACTCTAAGACCAGCATTTTAATAGTTAATGTACAACTGGAATGGATCCTTTAAACCTGTAAAAACTAACATGTTGGCCACTTTGAGGCAGCGTAGACAAGATGTATACAACACTTACACAATATCAGCTTGATGATATAGCAAACTTGATAGCAAATAGTTGCATTTTATTTTTACAAATGTAGCTGCTAAATGTTCCACTATGTTCAGCAGTTAGCTTATTTTAAGATAACAACAAGATTCTTGAGATTTTAAATCCTCCTTTTACTCCCAGGCTGCACACCATGTGAGTACAAAACATGATTTAAGCTAAAATAAACAGAATACAAGAGGAAAATAATATAAAACATAGTGAACCTGGTAAAAGTGAAAGAAAAAACTTAGTTTGATAATGGGGAGGCAGTGTTCAGTGGATCTTTAGAGCATTGAAGCTTGAAACAGCTGCCTGCTTATTGAAAAAACATTACTGTTAAAGGCCGGAAAACAATAAGCTGAAAAACCCCAAAGCGCTCAGTAGAGCTGGCTTGAATGGTCACGGGATAAATGTGAGTGAGTGCATAATTGTAAATAGTCATGTGTTCAATCGATGTAAACATTTCCATTATAGCTTTTTTAATAAATTAGCAAGGTGTCTAATCGTGATTCTGAGTGTTAACATTTACCCCTGTATAATACATGTCATTCTTTGCTAGCATTTAAGCAGTACCTGGGTATATGAATGGCTGCCCGCCCCACCAGCCTTTGATATCAGTGACATAGTACATGCCTCCCAGCAGCAGGAAGGAGACACTGCCCATACACAACACAAAGGACAACGACCTGCAGAAACAGACCATCAGCAACACTTTACAACAACAGCAACATTTCACTCTGTACATCTGGCCATCACTAAAGTGGTGAACAAGGGTGTAAAAACATTGGGTCTATCAATCCTGTACTGCAGATAAATAACACCCAGGGGTCTCGAGGCACTCCAGCAAACTGCGGGACAGTTTGCTGGATTGGTCTAAGCAGGCATCAGCAGTGGATCCTTGGCACGTGCTCCGTGGAGCCGTGCCAGCCAGCCATGTTCCTGTCTGTTCCTAAGTGCAAGAATGTTTGATGTAATACCATCTGATGTAAAATGGCTGCCTCTAGGAGCCTCCTGGCTTTTTTTTATTTATTTTTTTATCTCCGCTGAAGTGGGGCCAAAAAGGACTCTTAGCTGGGAGTTAATTACTTCTAGACATCCAGGCAGGGACTCGTACTCAAGAGCTCAATAACCTGTGTATGATGAACTGCCTATAAAAGCCAGGCAGGTAATGGCGAGGGATGAGCGCAGCGTTAGCAGGAGGCCCCAGTGGAACATCATGAAGAATCTGCTTACACATCACAGATGAAATGGTATTCTTCCTGCTGCAACATTAAAATGATTCACTTCATATTAAGGGGAATGTGGGAGTGGAAAGAATGCGCAGGTCGTAAAGTAATGTACGTCTGAGGTTGTTATTGCGCTGTATTTCATGCAAAACCATTACAAACGTGCCTTGTTTTACCAAAAAGGCATATGATAGTTTGGGAGCGGTTAGACTACACCGCGGTTATATAGATGCTTTTCCCAGAGCCTGATCCCATTCCATCACAGAGCTGGTAAAATGTGTTGTGAGCGACTAGAGAGGATAAAGCATCCTTTATTTTCCTGGCTGTGAGGAAGAGTGATCATGTTGGGAGGATGTATAACCCCTCCACCTCACACTCCCGACAGCGCGGGTGATTATTTACAGTCGTAGCTGTCGTTAGAGGTAAGTAAACGCGTGTTTTAGCAGCCTTGATTTGTGCCTGTTGGAAACCCATCCTTTCTTTTGTGAGGAAAAGTGGCTGGATTTAGAGGGTCAGGAAGCACTTACCAAAGGTTTTTATTGACAGGTATAAATCCTCCATCTCGCGTGCACTTAGAAAGGATGGCTGCAGAGATTCCCTAAGGGTGGAAATGAAACAGATTTCAAATCGATGGAGGGCGATAAAGCGAGCAGTATTGGGCTGCTAAAACGTGAGGCATCAGAATCAAGCAGAGTCCGGAGGATTAACCGATTATCTAAAGTCAGATGCAAAGTCCATCAAGTCATACACACAATATCGGACTACAACAGGCCAATATGTCCACGCTGGAATGTTATGCTCCTCGTAGACACCCCCCCCCCTTCAGAGTCACACCCATTTGAGGTGGACTCCACGGTCAGTTAATAACCACAGTACTGAGGAATAGTGTATGATCTCATGGACTCTTCATCAATGAGAGCTGTTACTGCCTCATCCATTTACCTTTACATATCATTTAGATACTTGAGGATACATTCTGTGCTCCAGAGAGAAACCCAGGGCAGTGGTTAGAATCCAAACATGCTTGTTAGGTGGATATCCATCATGTGTATAGATGACAGAATCGATGGTGTGGAAATAGCCTAGCCGGGGCTGGATTGAGTCTCCAGGCTATCCAGGCAGCAGGATGTGGGACGGGGCTGGTATGTGGGGCAATCGCTCAATTTCAATCTCTCACTTCTCGAGCCTGATCGTTGGATTTTAATTAACAGGGACTGTTGTTTATTAGCAGGAAGATGCATGGCCGCCCCTGGATATCAATCTGCTGTAGAAATAACAGAACAGAGAACTGTGGCGTAAAACCCGGCTTGTCCTTTACTGCTTGAACACTTCTTTGTGAACCTCCTGTGCATAATATCAATCCTGTGGTTGGATGCCTGTAGAAATGAGCTCCCTCCTCCACTGTGGAGGCCTGCTAATGTCAAGAGCACATGTCTGAAACGAAGAGGCTTCAGCTCTGCTCTCCTCCCCTCTGAGGCAAAATCGTATTAGAAAAGTCAATATGAAGAGAAGGCCGATCGCTAAAACTAATTTTGCTTTCTTTGTCGCTGAAAAACATTTAGTGTGGGACTAAAAATAGATTCAGCTAAGATTAAAGAAGGAACCAAAGCAGAACACATATGCTGTATTTACACTTTACTCACGGTCTGTATCTCTTCCCAGAATCAATAAAAAAACTCCAGCTCTCTCTGTCAACAATTGCAGTGCGAGAAAATCTATTTTATTGTTATTCTCTATTTCAGTTAACTGGGATTTTACGTCCCTGTATTGATCCATCTCTAAACACTGTATGATCCTGAATATAACGTCTCTCAACATCACCATTTTGAATATCATCATCTATGTGACATTACCAGGTGCACCCATGGGGATACAGTGGCGACACATAAAAGCCTAATGTTTATTTATTTCCTGTTGTGTTACTTTATCACTCTGTGCCTCTGGGAGAAGCCAAATGGATCTAATTTATTTCACCTCCCTCCAGTCACTCGCTCCACAATGATAGTCAATAAGATTCAACACCCGGAGACATAATGGGGAGATTTGTCATTTAGGAATTGAGGTTAATGATATTACATTCTCACAACAGAATTTCAATTGATTCTCACATGTATGAGCAGGATTCTTCCTGATTTACAAACACAAAAAGACCCATTCCTCCACTGCTGGATTTCTTGTATTGGATTTAGTACATAAATGTTAGACCTATTACAGTCTTATTCGGTTTGTTTGTATCTCTGTCTGTTAGCAGGATTGCTGAACAAATACTGCCATAACTTGGTGGAAGGGTGAAGCATGAGTCAAGGAAGGTTTGAGCGGATCCGAATCGTGGGTCAGGTGCACCATTTTTTTTTCCATTTATGTAAATGCATACATATCATGCAAATAATAAATGTTAGTGAGGGGAAAATATCCAGAATGATATAGTGGGTGCAATTGCAGATTTGCATGTCATGGCAGACTGGACTATTTATTATTTATTTAGAGGTCTGGTCTCTCTGCCCTTCTAGTTTGATTATAATAATGTTGTAGGACCATATATATATATATATATATATATATATATATATATATACTGTGAGCATGGCTCTGGGGTTGGGGACCTCCTTTTATTTCCTTTAGCAAGAGCATTAACTTGATTCTTTCACGTTTAGTAAAAGGTTTGACGACTGCTAAATATATTGGCATACAATTTGGTACAGACATTCATTGTTCCCAGATGATGAATCTCTATTTGGTTAACCCCTTAGTTCTCATATCGTGCCACCATGAGGTCAAAATATGAATTGTAATGACGTTGGTGATCCTCTGGCTTTCCATCTAACACCATCCCCAGGTCAGATATTTGCATTAACCTCAGATATACTTTCTATTCAGTGCTAATAAATACATTTGAACATTCTCCCAAACTATACTATAATGATGAACATGGTAAACATAGTTGCTTAACATTAGCATGGTGTTACTGTGAGCATATTAGCATACTCAAAGCACCATTGTGCCTAAATGCAGACGCACAGAGCTGCATTTCTCTCTGTAGGGTCTTCTTTTCTTACATGCTGAGGATTTAAAAGCTTTATATCATTAGAAAGTAACGGCTGGAAGAGAAATATTATGAAGGCTAAAAGCTCTATTGAGATATTGCATAGATGCAGTAACGATAAAACAAAGTTAATGGATGGAATTGTTTACTTAATTTAAGAACCTTCAGTCAGGTTTAATCACATTGGTCAAACAGTCACACATGCCAGTCTGCAGAAACCAGAAATATCAGAAAAGGCCCAGTAATATATACAAAAAAACGTCAAACTAATGGGATTAAACTAAGTGTTTTTCTCTGACTGCGTCTACTGGCTTCTTTTCATCATGCCCAGTTTCAAAGGCTGAGTGAGGCAGCCAGCTCCTCCGGCTCCATCATCGCTTCGGGCCACAGCTCCGCCGCTTCAGGATGTCTCCCTCCACAGCATGCAGGCTCATGCTAACTAACCCCGTTCTGCAAACAATCTCCTGTAGCATCTCACTGTACTGTGCAAACAAACACGCAAAGCTCAGCAAAGCTCAGCAAAGCCTTTCCTCCTGGATATCTGTCAATCTCGTTAGGACGGACTAACAGCCTCCTGTCACATGTTTAGAAATGCAAAACGGGACGTCTCATATAACACTTGGCTTCTCCCTGTGGGACACAATCCCCATCCAAATGAAATAGATGCCAGCTCGCCTCTTCTTGTGTTGTGAGACCACCCAGAATAAACAAAGATCCAAAACAAAAATGTGCTTAACTGCTTTCTGAGCTGATAACTACCAAAATGTGTGTTTTTATTATGGGTTCGAATTGATTTTAATATTTTTTCTGTTATACCAAACTGTCCATACAGTCACATGATTTGTCTTTAAATGTGTATTGAGACTTAGTGTGCAGGTATATGATTTAATTGTGCTCTTTATTAGATGCTGCAGACTGTAGTAGACATTGAATAACTCTTCTAATCTGCAACCACATGTGAGGCACCGGCAATGAGAGACAGTGTTACCTCCCCCGGGGCGCTGGATACTCATGACTGCCCGGAAATACAGCCACACATGGATGTTGTTTAATTGTACTGAGATCACACACATGTCCTGGACTAAGTCCTGCTAATGAATGGCTTTGCCAGCGAATACCAGAGTGGCTGAAAAACATGTTGCAGTCTACCTTCATGGCGAAGTAAAACAGCAGGACCATAAAAGTGCTCAGCCCGGTGTGAGTCATAGGAGCAGGACAAGGTGATTTGTTGTCTTGGTTTTAAGTTATCAATTGACTTTTATACTCTATACTTTCCCAGCTGTGTTTCAAACCCCCACATTATGCAACGTACCAGGATGACGGCCCACACGAGGAATCGACAGAGGATGTGGACGTTTATCCCCCGGTAGAAAATGATAATTTTCCCAGCCTGTGGAGAAGGAGGCAGAGATAAGCAGGGACACCACAACTCATTTAATCCTACATTTAATGAGAAATACCATGTAAACACCAGTAACGGGTGTGTGCATGTATTTGCCCTTGGGTAACCAAATATGCCTGGGATGTCAATGCTGTGTCCCTGACGTGGCGCTCACATTTCTCCTATCCTGTTGAGCCAGATGTGGCGTGTAAGTCATCCACACCCTCTGATTAATTTGGTGATGATGAATATGTTTCAGCTGAGGACATTAGCACGGGCAGCACAGAGGAGGGCTCGCTGACGGAAGGGCTCAGTGCTAACCGCCCACCGGGAATTAAGCAATGTGGCTGCTTTTCCAGGGCTACTTCCCACAACGCAAATTATTAAAAGTGACGCTGTCGCCGTCAGAAGCTCAGGTCTAAAGACCAAAGGCTCTCTCCTCACTTTCTGACAACATTTTGTCATTAAAAGAGGGCAGCTGTGCACTTGCAATTAGGCGGGAAAAAGGTACTTCACATAGCCTTGATTTAAAAAAATATATATATATATATATATTCTCTACCTGTATTTTAACTCAATGTAACACAGCATTTAAGGCAAATTAATCAACCAAAGAAATGTATAGAAGTTGTGTGTGCTTTAGATTGTTCTGAATGTTAGTTCATTTTGCAGGTGTACAATAAGAAAAACAGGATTTTCTAAGCTCAATCAAAAGAGCTGGCACCTGCAACATAATCTAAACATTTGAGCCTGTTTTGTAAGGGAACAGAGAACATAATTAACTGTAGTCTCACTGTCTAATATCATTCGTTAAAGTCTGAGCATTATAGTCCATCATTGATCCTCTAGTTAAAGAAGCTAACTAGAAATCTATTTGTATAATTGTACGGAAGTTATTGATTCTTGAGACTAGTTTCTGCCAGTAGTGTTTGACCAGTAAGCCTTCACATAACAAGCTTTGGTCAAATATGAAGAAGTTGCTGCTCTCAGCCAATCAGAGGCCAGTATTGCAAGAATTTAAGGGAGTTCCCCCAAATCACAGAAAAACTTACAAACTTAGAGTTTAAAAAATGTATGAAAAATGAAATGTTTGATATCATCAAACTAATTATCATCAGTAGCCCTTCAATTAGCCTTGCATTGATTCAATACGCTAAACCATCCATTTACTAAACAAAGTACAATAAAAAGCATTGTGCCTATTAAAAGCAATAGTAAATAAAGAACCATTCAACAACAACAGAAAAATATTGACACACAAAAACGACTCAAAACTAGAAATACTCTTGTACCACTTGTTGAATCACACAGGTAAAATGAATAAACCATCTTACCTGCATCCCCAGGAATCCTATGACAACAGAGTTTATTGTACCCAGAACCCCCTCTGGGTCAAAGGGCTGCGTGGAGCGATACAATTCCTGAACAAAAGCAAAACAACAAGGACCAGCAAGGTTGTTTTAATACCACCTGCACGATTTGAAGAAGAATTGGTAAAATGATGAAAGGTGTGTATAAAAAGATCTTACTTTGCATGAGGGGTATCTGTACATGTTATCCCCAAACATCCATCGGTCAACGTATCCTGCTGCGCCCCCAGTGCAGTTTGGGTAAAGACCGTCATCCCCAATTCCACCAGCTCCCAAATACCCTCTGATAACAAACATTATAGTGTAGTTAGCATTCGAAAACAAGGCATTCTAATAGCAATGAAAAAGTAACAACATAACTATACAGGATTTTAAAGGCAATGCTTTAAACATGTATTTTACGAGATGATTTAAGCAAAGGAAGTTCCTCAGGCCACATTTTCAATGTGAGAGATTTAGTTTAGTACTTTATTTGAGCTCAACAAGAGGTTGGAGGAAACACAAGAGCTCCTATTTGAACTAGGAGTATTCTAACAGTGATGTCATGCAGGGTCACGTGGAGGGAAACGCAGACAAAAAGCAGCACTGAGCAGAAGACGCAGAGCGAGGAAGATGGATCCTCTGCCTCGGCTCCTCTTATTGCACATGACAGACTGAGATTGGCTAATTATGCCCTCTGAAGCATCCACCACAGGCCCATAAATCACAGAGGTTCATAACACCAGCGACTCAAGGTGCACGCTCACACCTCTGCTGCAGAGCAACAGCCCCAACGGGAGATTATCTCAGCATGGGGGGATTTACACTTTAAGCATACGTGTACAGTGGATTCATGAGTGGATCTGGCTTGGTATGTTATACGACAGTGGGAGCCGTGCTGGGACTTACGTGGGGCAGTTGGGTACAGGCAGGAGCAGAGTGATGCAGAGCCACAGAGTCTCCAGCAGGACGATAATCAGCCACTGTGGCCAGTACAGGACCACGTCCTGGACGGGGTTCCACCAGTGATGCTGCAACACACATACATCGTGTCTGCCATTAGGGGTGTTAATGTTAATGTTAATCAAAACAATAACAAAAGACACGTTTGGTAGTGTCATGAAGTATCGTAGGATCATAGGTGTTTGCCAGGGGCCAGACACAATGAGTTAAACTGGTCAAATACAACATTTAAAAATACATGTTTTTACAACGCAACTTAGCTGAAAATTGGACGTCCCTGAGAGGCAGCGATCCGATTTGTTGCTGATGTTTTCCCAGTCTGTTTCTCTGTTAACTTAACATCCAGGCTATTAGGAAGTTTATAAATGATCCGCAGACATTGCCTCCAAGGATCAATGAGACACGGTGAGTAACTCCAGTAAAGAGCAGTTTCATTTTTGTATTATATTTGTATTGGACTAAACTGACACAATTCTCTAGGATTTAAAACATTTTGGGATTATTTTAAGTACTGAAATTAAAAAACATATAACATAGGTGTTTTAAGATGAAATGTTAAATGTTACGGCTTTGATGTACAGTACCCAGGAATTCAAGGCGCACACAGTGAATTAGCTGTTTATAAATGTTTTGTTCCAGGCGGGACTTTTTTTATCCCCTGGTGTGTAATGAAAGACTAAAGTGAACCTGACAGAGCTGCTCACCGCTCGCAGTGGGATTTCTTCGTGGCCCCAGAAAGTCTGCAGGAGAGACAGGACAAAGTAGGTGAAGCCCAGACGCTGCAGCACCCCAGGGATCCTCAGCCAGGACCAGGACACTGCAACACAGTCAACATCATGATCCCTCATACATGCTCTGATACTCAGTGATGAATATATGACCTTACAACTCAGGTACCAGCTCAGATATATAACTATTCCTGCTGATGTGAGCAAATTATAAATCAGGAAATAGACAATATTGGACACGTGAGCATCTTCTCCATCATTCCATTCCATTCCATCTTCCTGAAGGAGGATGACGGACAGCACTGGGGATGGTGTCAGCCTACAGGAAACAGACATGTCAAGAACGTGGGAAGCAAATCAAAGATTCCCAGTTATCTCTTTGTCTCGACAAATTGGGGAGGATAAGATTGGCTTGTGGTTGAGAGATTGATGGTAATCTACACATTAGCTAATTGAAAACCTTTTTGCCACACAAAGTGCCATGAAAACAGCGTAATCCCATTCATTGATCCAAGCAAATCAAATAAGAGGCGGAAATGTCTCCTTTCACAGGAAAAGAGGAAGCTCTTACTTATGACACATTTGTTAAACATGCAGGTCACACTCCCACCATGAACATTTACTATATCTGTTCCCCCACAACATCTATTGTGTAATATTATATAAAAATGCATCTTGAAAGTCTTACAGTTTTAAAGAGAACTGCTTTTCTGATCAATTTATTTAGGTTTTTTGTGTGAAATTGAGACCCTTTTTGACGTTCAATATCATTTAAGAAGTGAAAGCTTGGCTGTCTGCTTCCCATCTCTGAGCACTTTCACTGATAGATTAAACAAAATAATGATTATGTGGTGGAAGTGAGAAGAACAGACTTAAACCATCAGAAAGTCTAGCAAATACTAGAAAAGTTTCAAAAAGATGGGTTTCTTATGTGAACATCGTCTGAAGGCTTCTCTACTGTCGGGGTTAGAACTCGACCTTCTGACCTCATCTTTATCTGACTTATGTAACGTCCACACGGTTCCGTCGCGTGCTTCAACGGAGACGCTTCCCATTCACTTTGAATGGGGTGAAGTCAAGCTTTGCCGAACTGCATTGTGGTTCTGTCGCGTCACTTTGCATCCGTTGCTCGCGCTGAAAGTTGAAAAAAGTTCAACTTTTCAAACGTCGACGGAAGCGCCAGCCAATCAAATCATATGCCAGTACAAGCGATAGCCAGTTAAACCGTGTGCTTGTGTGTCCGGGGCGGAAAATTCATGCGATTGGTTGTTGGTCGCGTGCCAGACACGCCCACCGGCAAGCTTCAACGCGACGGAACCGTGTGGACGTACCGTTATCATTTCTTGTAGCTTGTCACCATCCAAAACCAATAAAAAAAACTGATGAATAGTCAGAGATCAAACTTTGAAAACACTGTCGTCTTAAAGGTGGGGTAGGTAAGTTTGAGAAACCGGCTCGAGATACACTTTTTGTTATATTCCATGGAATGCTCTTAACATCCCGATAGCAATGAATATCTTAAGTGCTTTGACAAAAAATCCATAAAAAAATGTCATCTGTGGAAGCCGTAGTACTGTAAAAAGCACGACCAATCATTTTAGCCGGCCCGGCTAAAATAACTGGATGGCCTACCTGCCTGTCAGCCTTCCATCTGTGCACAAACTTATCTCGTGCCCTCATTGGTCATGTGCGCGTTCGTGTGTGTTGGAGGAGGGGCTCTATAAGGAAGTGGCAGATTTTTTCCGGCTGTGTATTTTCAAATTCTAGCGATCTCGAGCTGGTTTCTCAAAATTACCTACCCCACCTTTAAGGTAAATAATATTGTTGTATGTCAAAAACATCAACTTCTAAGGATTTAAGAGAAACAGCCACGTTTTTAGCTTCATCACACTACGTTTTGAGTTAATCTAATGGAATGTGAAATTCAACCATTAAAATAAAGTATTATGTAAGTGCTTCAATAAAAGGGACAAAATAAAAATATATTGGAGTTTCAAGGTCTCTGCTTTGACGATGATTTGTGCATCTAACCGTAGCAAGGTTTATTTGAAATGACTCATAGTTTCTGTCAAAGGTTAACACCTTCTTCTGTCTCGTCTGACATTGAAATGGTTTAACATATTGAGCCGATATGACTCCATTCTCTTATTAGATCAAACCCTGGGACAGAGCTGCAGAGGACATCCTTGGAGACGGAGGGCAGAGCGGCAGTTTATGGTAAAGTCAGTGTGCTGTTATGCCTCCAGCCTCCACAGCAGCTGCATGGGGCTGAAGAGTGTAACACTATCTGTTTGTAATTGTCCATTACCGCAGCGCTTGTTTTTGCTCAATCCGCTGCAGTTAAACGTCCCCCGGTGCTAGATTTTGAGACTACACACACAATAACAATATTTTTGTTAACCCAGTTACGCAGACATCCACCCAGGAAAGTCCATTAGCGCTGGGGAGGGCTAATGTGTGAGGGGCGCCCCGTGCATCCCCAGGTGGACAATGAAATGTGGATTTTCAGCCAGCTTCCTCTTCTATAACCCCCGACACGGCCCTGCAGCTTTGGCTTTTATCACAAGTCTGGATTTAAACATATACTAGATCTTTGTCTTTGTCACTTGACAAACTGCAGTTTTCTGCATATTATAAATATACTAAAAAGATGTAGATTACTCCTTATTATAAGACATGGTGTTTTCATAAACAACAAGTCTTCTAACAATTTCTGAATTCATAAAATATTTGTTTTGCCTTTGAAACAAGTAAAAATGCTGATGATTACTCCTATAACCCAAGCTATTGTTAAAAGACGTCTTGTTTTGCTTTGAACATTAGAGGAGTATTCATTACAAGCTTATTATGATGCTCAAAGACATTCCACGAGGTGAAACCATCAAAAGTATTGCATATTTTGTTGAACTGACTGAAACATTTACTTGATTATCAAAGTAGTAGCTCAATAATTGTCTCTTGATTGACTGATTGATTAACCTACTAATAGTTGGAGGGCTACACGTAACTATATGGAATGAATCTTGAAAAATCCTTGTGATAAAATCTGCTTAAAAAAATAAAAAATAAAATATATATATATATATATATAAAAAATATTTAATACAACAGCAAATGTATTGTTTTGTTTGTCTCTTTCTGTCCTCTGATGGTTCAAATGATTCCGAGTGCTGTACATGTGCAATTGGTCATATTATTAGACCTGCCAGCGTCTATGTTCATTTCCCCCTTATAGATCAAATCAAAAAGTACAGAACAAACACATCCACATATAAAGTATTTGTTCCATTAATAATTGAGTGCTGCATATGTCTCACGTACGTGGTCCGTCTCTGGGAGAGTAGTTGAGGAAGCAGAAGCCGAGCATCAGCAGGACGACTGTTCTCCAGGTGATTTTGCGCAGCAGCTGCAGGTGGCTGACTCCTTTCCTCTGCATGGATCTGAGAGCCAACACCACCGAAGTCCCAATAATAAACACGAACCTAGAAGAAATAACAATAAAACACGAGTAAGACACAAATAAACATGCATATTTAAGTTAATTATAATGGGAGTGAGAATATATGACAGTCCTCTTGTATTAAACTTACCATGGCATGACAATGTCTCCCACAGTAAGGCCTGCAACGAATCCAGAGGCAAACATTAATATGAATAGACACACAGATACTTGTATTTAATGCCATTATACAGAGTTCTTGCCCTTTCCTAATCTCTTCAATCCAAAAGGACTAGGAGGTGGATTAAGAACAATGTTATGTCCCTAAGTGCTGATCAGTCATTATCTTTCTATTTCCAAAAGGTGAATAAATATCTACACTCCTGTGACAGAAGCAATAAGGAGATTAATCAAACCGCGCTGAAATCAATACACACTTGTAGATGTGGCAGACAGGCTATTATAAGATTTAAATTGAGAACACCCCTAAACACTGACATGGATTTAATACGTTTGAGTGACATTTTAAACTTTTATATTCATGGGGAAAAGGGACGCAGAATTCGTAGCACTCATTCCCTCACTGCCCCCTCCCATATTCTCCCAGCTCAGCTGCCATTTAAAATCTCATCCCTCCTTCCCCTCGTCGCCTCCCCGGTTGTTAATAACAATACAGATCTATGGATCGGGCCTTTTGATTTGGCTGGCGTGAGGAATGGCATCCTGTGTGTTTGGTTTGAGACTGCATTAATCATAATTAGTGACAACAGGTCAGAAAATGCTGCAGACACAATGAGGAGATTGCTGCTGTTGAATAATTGCCTCGAGTTCATGCACTCATTTCATATCTGGCTTGAGTTGAAAGAAGGCGTACATAAATATTACAAGTGTAGGCAGACTGACCACTGTGAGCTGTCAGTCCTTTCAGCTATAGAGGGCTACAGGAATGAGTCCTTAAACCAGGAAATGAGTCAGCATTTTCGCAATTTCTGTTTCCTGCATCTAGAAGTAAATGTTTTTTTAATGGGTTGGATGCCGAAATAAGGTCTGTGGTTAAGAAAAAAAGACAATTCCTAACAAGTGGTTAAATTAAACTATTACATGTCATCATGCTGAAATATTATTACGTTTTTCGGTGGTGACGTCTGGCATTTTTTTTTTATCGTGTTGGAACAAAATGTGAAAGCACCATAAACCTTTATATGCCACATAGTTTAGCAATAATCCAATGAGCCAACAAAATCCCTAATCACTGCTTTTATCAAATCTATATGATAAGGGAAGACAAATAGTGTTAGTTTGTTTTGCATGTAAATGGTCTGCAAAGGCTCCTCCCCAAACTCCTCCATTGGACTCCTTTTTGCATTTCTGTAACATAGTAAGATCACTATGTATCACTCGCGCTTCTATTGGCTAGCACTTCAACAATTTGAACTTAATAGCCTACGGTGTGGGACATCTCTAAGCAGTTCACCAACATCACAACAGAGCCAGCTAACCAATCAGAGCAGGCTGGGCTCTGGTTTCAGACAGATGGTGAAAAGAGGTGCTGCAGCACAGGCAGTATGAGAAAAATAAAGAGCTGTTTGAACATTAAAGCATGGAGACACAACATATTAGAGGCACAACATACAAATACGAACCTGAAGATGTATATAATAGGGCCCCTTTAAGATGTATTTCTGTGCATATCATATACTTAACCATTCCATGGTGCATGTTGGAAGAACCAGTAGCCTCCCCCACTGTAGTTCACAAACACCATCACTGTCAGGGAAAACCTACAAAGACACTATGAGTAAGCACTATAGCACGCTGTTGAGTTATTCAGCAACAATTGGATTATTTTCATTCAGTAAATGATGGAAATTAGGGTTCAATGTGTTTTGAATTCAGCATAACTGTGTCATATCATAGCTGTTTTCTTAACACGTAACTTATACATCTGATACAATATTCGGTTTTGAATTCAATTTAAAGAGGCGAGGGGCTTTTTTTATTCTGTCACACTCCAAATGCAAGGTAATGCAATCTAAGCATTATGAATCACTCAGGAAATGAACACTTGTCCTCTGGATCTCCTCAAGCAGGAGTGCTGACTAAAGACTTTGCTTCTAATATATGATACACTTTATGCTTTAGCACTGGCCAAGGCTGCTGAAACACAGCACACGTGATGGAGTGCTTCACTGAATCAGACACTGGGGGGGGGGAAAGGTGTTTGCGTTGCATGTCAGAAAATGAGTGGGGGCCATTACACAACACAAACTTGGGTGGGTAAATATGTATATATTTGCGTGGTCTGGCTATAGAGGGTGCTCAGAGGCAGATTCAATTGTTTAACCATGTTAAATATTTGAATTTAAGCTTCTAATCCAAGTTTTATTCAATCAAAAATAAATTCGACAATAAGATTAGGACAACCTCTAAGCAATAGACTCTCTGATAAGATGCACTGTATCTGCCTCCTCTTGTTTTTCTGCCCAGATTGAATTAAGAGGTGCACCAAAGCCATTACTGCTCTTTTAGCCCCAACCTGCTGATACAAGATTTGAATCGGCCACTATCATCTCAAAATGGCTATTAAAGTAAGGTAAACCTGGCTGCATGTGTCCGTGTACTAATCTCTCTCACGCACGCACCCATCTGCATGCCGGCTATCATTTAAAATTTGACGAACAAATCCATTAGTCGCCATAGTGACAAAGACACAGGTTAAATCTCTGGCCACATGGGAGCCTGGTGAAAGTCCCTGCAATATCAGGGCTTATTGGCCATTTATTTAATCAAAACACTCTCATTGTGAATGAGAGCTCTATTTTAGGTAGATTACATTTCAAAGGCAGCACACAGGCGTCACTGGTGTCTGCTAATTGTGATTAAGGGAAACTATAAATGATTAATATGATGGGATCTGAGATCACTTTGCTTTATGTTGCACCAAAGTTAATACAATATCCAGGTTAAAGCTCCACAGGCTTGTTTCCTGGTTACTAATCAGGTTGAAGTTGTAAATATCCCCGTGAAGCTCTCCAATGAGAATTTGTCACGTCGGTAATAGACTTTATTCATGCCTGGGAATCAGTATATGTGATTTATGGCCAACGGATTACAGATATACATGTCTTTCTCGCAGCAGTGACAACTGGTTATGACTCGCTGATAGACGCTTATGGACTTCTTTGATTTGAATCACTGTACATGCATTACCAATTAGAGTGTTAGCTTAGTACATTTCCCCGTTGCAAATGGATAGTTACACTCTATCACTGCAGAGTATTGAGTTACCTTCTGCACTGGCCATATCAAATACACTGACATCCAATCTAGTCATAATAAATTACTGCTTGAGTGGGAATGCCAAGGTTCCTTTTGTTTTTGTGTGGCCAAACATCAGAGCATATCTGAAACTGAATCGGAGGAAAACTTGGAGCTTAGTCAAAAATAAGGAACGCAATGAGTCAGCCACCTGGTGTTAAATGCAAACGACAATCCATTGTTTTGCTGTAATAGTTGTTCCTTCTGTTGTATGAACTACTGACGGTGCGATTTTCCACAGCAAGGGAACTGGTGACAGGCTTTTAGCAGTGTGGCACAAGATTAAAATGCAAATCCTTTTAGAAAAATTAACGTTCAACCGTACCCCACTGTTCTCTGTATATCATGTCAGTGGAGCCTGAGCAATGATCAGAAAAACCTTTCAGCTCAGGAGAAAAGCATTTTGCCATCAGAAATGTCTCAGCATTTATGGTAGATGATGTGTCTGTTCTCAGCAGAAAGTTGTTACTTATCAGGGAGTATGGATCATAAGTCACAGGGCTGAGGAGGCAACGCAGCGTTAATCTTGAGCGCTGAGTCACAGTTTGATTAAGTGTGTTGTCAGTTATGAGAATTTCCAGTATTACCTATCAGGATGTCAATATGTGACAAGTATCTGTAACCCCAGAGAGACATTTCATCTAATAAGATTAAGCTCAGCGGCAAACAGCATAACAGAAAGAAATGAAATCAAAATGTAGCCTTTCCTTGAACCTTTTGTAAAATCTGGTTTAAAGGGGCCCTCTTCTGCTCATTTTCAAGTTCATATTTGTATTTTGTGCCTCTACTGGGACCTCTTTACAAGCTTTAATGTTCATAAAGGTCCAACCAGAGCCCAGTCTGCTCCGATTGGTTAGCTGGCCAGCTCTGTTTTGATTGGTCAACCACTTAGAAATGACCCACCCCTTAGCCTATCACGTACAAAGTGTTGGAGCGCTAACCAATAGAAGCGTGAGTGTTAAATAGTGATGTAAAAAATGTTATAGAAGTAAACAAAGGAGTCCAATTGAGGCGTTTCAGGCAGGGGGGGATTCACTCTCTCTGGAGGGAACTTATGGATTTTAGCCTTTGAAGACCATTTACATGCACAGAAATGTATATAACATACTACAGGAAAGGGAAAACCCCAAAAATCCTATTGAGGCCCCTTTAAGGGTATTTAACCAATACCGCTCCCAGAGTAAATAATACAATGTGGTGTTTTGAATTCAGCACATATGCACAGTGGTTTCAGATGGCTTTTCATCCAAAAGGAAGCCACAGATGGAGAAGATGCCAATTGTCTGCTGGACGCTGCCTCTGTGCTGCTGGATTTCCTCTCGTTCTCTATTTTGGCAGGAGATCTATGGCCTTGTGGATGTGTGCTGATATGTCGACTGTATTATTACATCAATTATTTGGCTAGGGGGAGGTCAAAGCCACACCAGCATCCTGTTTCCAGAGAGGCGTGCTTTGTGTCTACCCCCAGGCCACAATTAAGGCTAGCAGGGAGTCCAGATTCAATCACATGCATCACTCCTGTCCAACAGCAACACACTGTTCCAAACCCAAGACTCTCTGATATCAGAAATCATGCCCAAAGCTATACCGCCTGATAACAAAAGCTTTGGGGGAGCATGTGGCCAGACTGTGACCCCTGTAATTATTCATTATGATGGGCCTGTAGATCTTCATCATGCCTCAGACTGCTCCAAAAGGAATTAGCATGTGAACGGGCCGCATGTGGTGATAGACTGATAAACAGGATGGTTACTGATGGCGGACATACCCTCGGAAAGTGTCCAGTGAGTGCAGACGTGTTGGTTTGGCTTTAGTGGCATTTTCCTCCTCTACCTCACAAGCCTGTGCCTCATCCTGTTAGGGTAGAACGATAAGATGTCAAATACTTAACAGTAACTCAACACCATTTTCTTACATACACATTTTAATTAAAGTAGCAAGAATCCTTATAGGACCAGTTTGTAGGATTTAAGGGCATTTATTGGCAGAACAAATATTTTCATTTGCATATAACCACCTGAAATTAAGAATCATTGTCTGAAGGCCTTTATATGATTGTGATAGCTGAGATATACAGAACATGTGAGGGAAGAGAGTAGTGTTTGCATTGTTTACATTTAGCGTATTAAAGGGGACCTATCATGCAAAATGCGCTTTTTGATGTCTTTTATACATACATATTTGTCCCTGGAGTGTCAGGAAACTCACAAAGTGTCAGAAAACAAAACCCTCTCTCTTCGCCTCCATACCCAAATCTCTAAAAACGGAGCTGATCCAGATTTGCATCCGATATGACGTAAATTACGTCATATCGGATATGCGGACCCACAGCACTATCAGAAAGTTGCTATCAGAAACAATGCCTGATGTGTTTTGGACGTAATATGGTCTTTGTTTACACTCAGAGCTAACCTGTACTGGAGAGAGTATGTGTAAAAAAGCAGGAAATAAAAAAAAAGGAACTCACCTTGTGGTAAACCCGCAAGAGAAAAAGCATTTGAGCTCCATACTGTTTTAGAAATAATCCTTGATGTGGTTTGGAACATGATGGCGTTTAATCACGGCAGAATTTAACTGTATCTACCTAATTCTGAGCAGGCATTAGCTCCCCCTCCTCTTTTTTATTTTTTCAAGCTAAGGACCCAAAATCAGCGTTTCTGTAACAGGGCTGAAACAGAGGGATATGAGGGATGTCTAAAATGCATGATCTGTTTATATTTTGAGCAAAACACATCATAGACATGTTTTTATATATTTTTTATTTTTATATATCTGAGACCCATAATATATGCCTAAAAATAGCATGATACAGTAGGTGCACTTTAAAGAAATGTAACAGTTTTTTTGGCCACTTTGGGACAGCGGTAAAATTATTTATATTAACGACAGCAGAAAAACTGAACAAAACCATAAGCTGAAAGATGCTAAACTGCTGCGTAGCACTGAAAGGAACTGCAGAATCAAATTATAACATTGTGTCGGTTTGCCACTATGTGCGAGCCCTTCCCCTTTCACGTAGTCATTTGATGGAATGTTGATACAAAAATATTGATTAGTGCTTGTACCTTTAAATAATTAAGTTTATTTTCTCTTAGGAGCCCTCATGTTGCTTTGAATGCTAACAGTATATATCAAAATGCTAATTACAAGAGCTCATTTAATAGCTGACGGGTTCTGCTAATTGACATCAAGTATGAAATTATCCTCTTCTGTAGAAGTCAATAATTATTATTATGTTAGAATTACAGTTCTGTCTCCTGTCGGGATCACATTGATTTGTACCCTTCGTTCTTTAACTTTTAGACAAGAAAAGTAATCTTATACATGTATGTTAAACTTGTTTGAAAATGTTACACAACTATAATTTTCCTGACATTTAAAAATCTTGAAAAAAACAAAAATCCAATTGCCACAGGGGTTGGAACTCCTTAAAATGATGTTGGCCATCTTTCTATCCTGGGTCATCCTCTGTTCTGTGTGTCGGCGCCTCTTTTGCCCCTCTTTCTGTGAAGGCAGCATTGAGATGTCTCTGGCCTATTGCCCTTTCGGTTGGATTAGCCTGACTCGCTGGCCTCCACGCAGGAGTTTAAAGAGCCAGAGCAGGAAGACACCAACACTAATATGTTATGATGGATCTGCATGCCAAACACACAGCATATGGAAGACACAGACATCTTGCTTGGAAGAATGAGAGGAGCCATTCATGCTCACCAAAATTACACAGCAGCTCTTGCCATCAAGCAAGATGATTGGACGGATATGCGCTCTATCTCTACCATGTAAGTCTGCTATACAATTGGCTCTGCTAACATTTGTATCAATCATTCCATTAGTGTCTCCCAAACGTCTTGATGACTGGAGTCTCAGAGCAATTTTGGAATGCATCCCAGGCTGCGTAGTTGGCCAATGGAAATAATGCAATGTTACTGTTGGACTAAGGCACATTATATATGTGAATATAAAGAAAGCAAATCATTTTGTGCAGTAAGGAAATAAAGGTGGTGCATTTTTTGTGCAGTGCTCTCCTAAACACTTAATATCCAGGAGATAATGGGCAAAACAAAACTTATGAAATACCCACAATACCCATATATCTTACATTTATATGTTCATACTGAGATGTTTAGGATGTCCAAAATGTAGAGTTGATATTGATGAGATTTCCACTAGTTTCATTTGATTGGTTTATGATTGATCCAAATACAATCAATTAAATCACTCATCCCTGTCGCTCCGATGCATTCACTAAGATATTATTCTAATACGATAATTAGAAGCAGAATGTTACTTACATTATCCACTGAGTACTGTGAGCCTTGGCAGCAAATGGACTTAATACATTCTGAGGAGCAACGCCTCCTGTAAATGAGAGGTTTTAGCTCAGATGGAGAAGTACTCAATGCAGGAAGGTATTTTCATTGTGGATGATGTAAAAAACATATGGGTACCTGAAGATGTAGGGTGCCACAGCGAATAAGAGAGCGATTACGCCCAGTAAGAGAGCTGCTACCAGGAGAGCTGGAATACAAAAAAGGGAAATTGTTTCAGACTGCGAGCCTGTACGTCATAGTCTGTCTGGAAGTCAATGTCAGGAGCTTTATAGTGTACAACTTTGTCAGAATAGGATCTGACTAGGGATAAAAGGCCTGATTAGCAGTCCAAACTGTCTGCTCCGCTCGCCTCTGGACTCCCTTGTGGCTCCCTGTCATTCAACCAGTGTCAAAGGGGATCCCTCAAGTGACAAACAAGGACCTAATGGAAAACTCTCGGTCTATCCATCTGGGTAATCTAACCCTGCAGGCGTAAAAAACTGAAAATGTAAGGCTACACTGGGACAAGGACAAGAAAAACAAAGACAGAGGGAAAGAGCTGGTCTGCCTGAGGGCATCATTGATAGGAGTGGGGTCAAGATGAGGTTTGTAGTAAGGCACAAACAATGCAGATAAGACGTATTTTATTTGTTACAGAACAAATTAAATCTACCTTCTTGAATTCAGGCTTATTTACTGATTATTTAAGGAGCAAAAAGTGTGTTTCCTGTTTCTGTTTCACGTCATAATGTACAAAAATAGACCTTAGTCCAACAAAAATGACAATGTGATTTGTATCTTATTTTTTTGCAATCAAAAAAGGCAAGTCTGCTACATCATGGTTCTGATTATATAAATAACACAGAGATATCAGTATAGCCTTCTTGCGTCAAAGCACTGAAATAATGGGGAAGTACGCTCCGTTTGTCTTCGGTGGAAAAACAAACAAGAAGCAGCCATTTTAACCTGAGCTGGATCCACACTATGACATCCACCCTGAACAAAGAGTGGGCACTTAATCGCCTCGGGAAAGTCCTGGCATCTCTGCTGCCCACTCATAAAAACACCATAAAGCTCTCAGCACATGAAGTGAAACAACACTGGATCTCTACAACAACCTGCTCGCTCTTTGGTTAAGTTATTGCCAGATAAATAGAAAAAGTAATAGAGGCATTTGAAAACAGCTATACTTCAGCTCATTGATACGTCTGTTAAAGTCGCACATTCACTTGATGGCAGTCGATATTCTGGATTTCTTTGTGAGAATTAAGCAGGTGACTTGTGGTTTGTGGTACAATGCAGAATACAGTACTAACATGATTAAAGGGTGGATCTGATAGTGGCTGCACAGAAACATATCCTTGAAGAATACCGCACCCATCGAATGACCTCATGAAGCCCCACGGCCAATCAATCGGAAGTAAACTTTGATATTTCCTAGCAGGGCAACTCTAACCTGTCTTGAGCTGCTGACCAGACCATTACTTAAGCTGAGCAAGTCCTATGGGGAGTTTGTATAATCACTGGTCTGCGGAGCTAATGGAAGCTCATCATACTGTGAAGGGGGCCGTCATGCTGACCATATATCTGCTTGGATAATGGCTACTTGGCCTTAAAAGTCTGATCTACAACATAATCTGCAATATTGTTAAGTAGAGTGTACATTATGGAGAGAGACGCTTTCAAAATCCCATTACGCCCTAATCCTTCCACACTCCCTAATGTATTACCCACAATCCTCCACGCGCGGAGCCAGGGCCTTCAAAACAAACAGAAAAGCTTTTCTTTTATCCCTTTTCAAGAAGGCATTTCTTATCTGATCAATACACATCATGTCCCAGGAGATGCGCGAGTATTGCTGCTCAGTAGACGTGGACAGGGCGAGTGATTCTCTGCTGACTCGATTAAGTGGGGAGTGGATCAAAGGCTTGTCTTGAGCGTGGACCAAGGTTCCTTTTCTGTCACTGTGGCTTAAATCATAACAGTCAAATTGTTCTATTAAAAACTGAGTGACTGATTACTGAAGGTCATCATCATGTTTCCTTCAGTGTTGTTCACTTACGAAGGTAGACGTTGTTTGGGATTTTATCCACAGCGTCAGTGCAGCTGGCAGACTCGGACATCTGGATCCAAACAGAGTAATGACCACCTTCCCCATACGTCTGACTCCACCTGCATCCAAAACAGTGAAACACACTTCCCTTAAAAGCACATATAATTACAAGATGTTTTATTTGATCCCCTGTGAAATTATTCCCTTAGAAGCATTATGAAATGTGTTCTTTTATTCACTTTCTGCTGTTTTCTCTAGACCTAACTAAAATATCTGCAAGCTCAGCAGCTACCCCTAGTGTCTGCTGTCTTAAAGTGCGTCCCCCTGTCCTCTCGTCATGTCCAGTTCCAGGCCCCCAAAAAACATGCATTACATGCTCATATTGATCCACTGTTGGGATGACATACTAGCTATCACTCGGAGTGTTTTTTCAAAGGGGAAAAGGAAATCAATGGCAGCAGTCTGGTTAGAGACCTCAGCATTGATCTAAGAAGCGCATGATCAGACCTCTAAGAGGGCGAAAAAAGGCACCAGAGGCTTGTCATGTTGCAACCGAATCTCTTGCCCCGTGTTTACAGGTGACCCCAAATGGAAACCTCTGACTTGTCAGTTGTGGTTGTTTAAAAATATGGCAACTGTCTCAAGTTAACATCCCCGCAGAGGTTTCAACAGGATATGCACAGCTTTGACGCTTTAATGAGCCCTTTTCATCAATATTGGAATGTCAGGTCTTATTAACCCCAAAAAGGCTGCTGATCGATACCCGGTGAGGTGGTTTAAGGGAGGGCATCACTCAGGTCCAGAAAGCAGGTCAGGATAACTCCCCCAGCCCTGTAAATAATCTCCCAGACTGCTGAGGCAGTCATCAGATGCCACCACACTATATCATGGCTGGAAGCCAGAGCAATACACTCCCACAGGCAGTTAATATGCGTAAACAGGAAACTAATCAGCATTTTTACTTCCTGGGATTGTAGGTGGTTTAATGTGGTTGATGCTTTGTTAGAATGTGTAACTGGTTACCTGCAGAGAGTCGCATTCCTGGACTGTGAGTCCACTTGCATAGTCAGAGTGAATTTTGTGCTGATCACCACAGATGCATTGTTGTTGTTGGGCTTCACGGTGACCAAATGCTGGTACAGACACTGAGAAGGGAAAACAGGTGAAACACTGACTTAATGGGATGGAATGGGGACATGATGGTTTAGGATTCACGCATTTTAAGTTGTATTTGTTAGATACACAAGTAGAATGTGCAGTTGAATGCTTATCTTTTAGCAGCGTGCTAAAGAAATAAATACGAAAAATATATACATTATTATGTTACAGGTTCATTGTGCAGGGCAGTGCAAATTATTTAAAAATATATTTACTTCTCTTGTTCCAAGTTGAGTAAATATTTAGGTCTTTACCTGTCATTTTAACCTTTTCCATGTGAATTGCATCCACATGTCTCAAAATGTCTTTACAATTCTCAAAAGAACACACACAACTCTTTTGTAGAACTACTTACATTTCCTTCACAATAAAACAAAAACTTAAAACAACATGAAAAAAAGTTAGGAATTACTGTAATTGAGGTCAGAAAAGCAACTTTTTGTTATATCAAAAAGTGCAGAGAAATAGTAGACTAGATCAGCTTTAAATGTAATGTCTGCTTTTTCTCTTAGACAAATCCCCAAAACCTGAAGAGTTTAATATCATGCCATCAGGGGTATCTATACTTCAGATTTTTAGGAGATTCAATCACACACTAAATATGTTGGGTTTGAAAGACAGTGGAAATTACCAGGCAGGGGAGGTTTTCATGAACGATGCTATTGGTGAGAAACTTAAACCTCAAACTTTAGTAAGTTTGCTCACTTATTGATATCTGGATCAACCTGGGCAAACAGACAGCTGGAAATGAGAGGCAACAGAGAGACCGTGTATATATATTTTGATTTACCTTGTAGCAGTGATCTGATGTGTAAAAGACCTGCACTTCTTCTGCCAGCTGGTTGTGAAATATTAACAAAGCCTGGTCCATTTTCAGAGTGGGCCCTGCATAGATTCAAAGCGGCACTGATTTACGGTGTACACAAAGCTTTTTGTACATCATAAATATAAAACACATCATATCAGGTCACTGTCATTATCAAGATCATAACACGGACTCAATATTATCGACAGAGTAAGTTCTCATACAACCGACAGGTCTATTTGTCATAATTGAATGTTTCCCCCGATTATGAAAAACAAATATTGATTGACACCAAAAGCGGAGTCTAAATATGTTTGAGGCATAAAGTAACTGCTCTTGGAATCCTGCGTCAATCTGTAACTACAGGAAGACTATTGAGAGTTTAAAACACTAAAAAGACCCACTAACACTGTATCCTAGAAGACTAACCTGATTTTAAGTGTCCTCCATAACTGCTTGTTACAAGTATTAACAAAGTTAGACTTGCTTGTAGTGTCCTGGGCTCCATGTTGCTACTTGAAAACATTGGCTACCACTGCTCATCTTTACAGCACTCGCACTAATAAAACAAAAAGCGGTCAAAGGGCAAAAGGGCGCACGTTGTTGGTGTTTCCTTTAAACAGTTTGTGATGTGTTTATTTGAATAATGTGTGGCGCAAAATTCGTCTGCAATTCAGTTCTAGAAATGATCAATAAAAAAGCATTATTGATGCAAACTTCTCAATCTCAATATTGTAGGCATCAGAGGGATTAGCCATATTTCCAACCACAATGTATACAACCATCTGACTCTAATCCAATGTTTTTGTCTTAATCACAGCCTTCTTTTCTCACCTAAACACTGAAGCATTATTATCATCTTCCCCACCCAGCCAACTGTGAAATGTTGATCACTTGTCACATCCTCTGCCTCTCCTCATTTCATTAAGCAGTTCATTTCCCTGAGCGCTCGCCGTGACAGATGAGTTCACCGGGGCAATCTCGCAGGAGCAGCTCATTAACCTCTGACATGAACTCCAGTCAGCTGAAGAGCAGCGTGTGCTTTAAAATATGCCGTCTTGTTCAACAGAGACATCATTAACTGTGCTATTATGCTACAGTTTTAGTTAATGTGCTCATATATAGAAGATATGAGGGTATCAAAGGGACAGTATCTTTGATCAAACAACAAACACTGCTGCACCAACAGTGTTTGCTGACACAATAGCTGGCCTCATGCATGCCTTGTGCAACACATGACAGTTTATGATTAAGCTCGTGCTGTCAGGGGGCCAAAAAGCCTATCAGCAGGGAGGATTTCTGCGCAGGCTTCTGCACGGGCAGCTAAGCAGGACCTACGGCTCATGTGTCAGACTGGATTCCAGTCACTCTTACTGGCTGCTCCACAGATCTGTGCAACAGGGAGCTGGAGCTGAACCTCTTCTGTGCATGAAAACACTCTGCAAACATGGTGAGTACACAACCTCTCTCCAGTGTGTGAGGGCTGCCTAATGCTCACACACCTGTTGCCATTTTTAGACTATGAGACTGACTAAAACTAATCTAGAAAATGTTTTATAATGCAGATAGATATATTTGACATGAGTCTGTAGCATTCTGAAAGGATAAGCACATGCACATTTTCCTGTCTTTGTGTATGCATTAAGCCACCGCACGTGATAAATAGACATGGGTTGAGCCAGTGAGTATTGTCTGTGTGCTGCCCATTCGCTCCACTGATAGAGCAGATTAGAGTGTTGCTATGATACCTGTTGATGTCATTACTCTGTTTCAGGCTGTGATCGTGTCATTTGCTAGCTCTGGTTTATAGGCATGACCGCTCATCTGTGCACAAAGCCTTCATAAGACCCCTCTCGATTGCACAATTAAACAAAAATAGGGAATGTTGTGAAATGTTGACAATGCAGTTAACATTTTTTGTTTCGGCTGTTTGAAACAAGCCACTCTAAATCCATGTGACCCTGCATCATGTGTCAAGATTAGGAACTGAGTGACCAAACAGAACCCCCTCCAACATCCCTCCCACCACCACCATCACAAACCTTTGAACCAGCTAGTTTTTTAAACCAGGAATGCAGCCTCTCATTGTTTCCAGATGGGATCCTGTGCAACCAATCACAGTTTGTGTTTGTGAAGCTGCCCCTCTCAGATCTGCTGTAACTGTTCCCTCTGCTCTCTACCAGGCTGGTAAAATTCAGAGTCTGACTGAAGAGGAGAGGGCCCACCTTCTCCCCCTGCTACGCAACGCTCAGTGGGTGGAACTCGGGACACGGGACGCAATTTACAAAGAGTTTATTTTTAAAGACTTCAATCAGGTTCATAATATAAATTCCATATACCTAGTAACTATTGTATATTATGTACTGTATATATGCATGACTTCATTGTGTTCTTTTCTTTCAGGCTTTTGGTTTTATGTCCAGAGTGGCTTTACAAGCTGAGAAGATGGACCATCATCCTGAATGGTTCAATGTCTATAATAAGGTATTAAAGACTAATTATGATTCATGCAAAGGAAATTAATTTACAACCCTAAAGTTGTAAATATACAGTGTATGACTTTAGGGCATTAGTGGTCATCAGTCAATAGGCTGCATCACAGTTAGACTCCTAATTGGCTTTCTCTGCTGAAGAAGAGTCCAGTATGTGCCAAAGCATCAAATGCATAAATATTTTTTAATAATCTGCAATATCATGAAAAAACGTTGTGTTTTGAAAGCACTGTCTTTTTAACTGAAGTTGATTCAACACAACTCCTTCCTGTTAAAAAATATATCTAAGCGCACACAGGTGTAGTGTAAGGTGTACAATGAGACATCCCCATTCCCCACAAGAAAGTGTTCGCTTGTGAAAAACTTGTGTTTCACTTGCTAATTCTGTACATAGTTGTTAGCTAACGCAGGCAAAGTCCAAAACTGTACTACTTTGGTTCACTTTTACTTACCACCATCGCTTCCAGACGTAAGTAGATCTTTTCTGCCCGAAAGTTCTGAAGAAGTCCCTTAAAACAGTTTAGCGCCACACTAGACCAAACATCCATGAGGTAGACACAGACTGTTAGCTTAACCAGCTAGTAGCAGGTTGTCACAGTGTAGCATTTAGTGGCTAAAGAGCTAGATATTTCCTTCAGGGGTTGAAACAGAGTTAAAATAGAGTGAATATTGAACTTACATTCATTAGGTGGCTTGAAAACATAGCCTGCTGTACAACTGTTTGCTTAAAAAAAAGTAAAGTGATAATGTCGGTGTTGTCAACAGCTTGATGCTTCAAGGCCCAGGTAAAAAGAAAAAAATTAGCAGGGTTGACAGCTTTCATCGTCTACTTTAAACGTACTTGCTCAAAACATTAAAATGCAATTTGGCTGCCTAGGGCCTTCACTTCACCTGACATCAGGCAGGGATAGATGGTCACTAAATATTTTTCTCCTTCTTTTGGCTTCATTGTAAGTCAATGAGAAAGCTAGGGATGAAAATGCTGTATGCTGGTTTCAATTTGAAGTTTTCTGATTAAAGCAACATCTTTGAGCTAAAGGAAACACAATTAGATCTACTAGTAATTTTCTAGTTATATGCTCCTTTTTGTTCCAACAGGTCCAGATTACTCTCAGCACACATGACTGTGGCGGGGTGTCCCAGCGAGACATCACTATGGCCACATTCATTGACCAGGCATCAATGATGTAAGACACCTGCATCGTCAGTCATTTCAACAGTGGGAAATGAAGAGCTCTTCATTTATTAATTTCACTGAAAAATTGCTGAGGATGTGACCTGCAGTGAATTGTGAATGATGTAGTAGTAGGTGTAGACTACAAATGGTCCAACATGGTTAAAAAACTATTGTGTTGCTGGTTACGCATTTGATGAATAAATTAGATTAGAAGCTAAAGGTAAAATAATGTTCACAGATAACATTCTTAATATTAGTAATTTTTCAGAAACCATTCCATGTATTCTATTAAACCTTCATGTGTCCCTCTGCCACCATTAGTGTATTATATGTGCCAATGATTTTGTACTTTACAGTTAGTAAATGTTATTTTCTGTTGAACTGTTCTTGTCTGACATAAAAAGAAAATGACCAGAAAAATGATAAGACTGAATGCATTTTATTGAAAACAACAGTGTAGAACATCCACTGTGTGTGACTGTGATAATTGCTTAGAGTGGTATAATTGCGTTTGGATCATGTGTAAAGGGGAAAGAAATCTGCTACATAAGATGCAGTCACATGAAAACAAATCCTTTAACCGTGTACATTCAGAACTACACAAAATGACTTCACAGGGGTGTAAAACAGTAAAAAAAATACCGTTACAATATACTGCAATCCAGTTAGCTAAAACTAAAATTACAATAGTTGTCAAGATGTCTGACGTTAAAATGCCACATTTTAAGACTGATGTAAGGTTGTATTTAATTGCATTACAGCTACACTGTCCACCCTGTGCATGATTGAATGACCCATGGATAAATGATGTCGCAGTTATGAAGCCAAATCCCTGAGGATGTTACAGAAAATCTGCTATGACGTCATGAGTCTGGCAGACGTTACCGCAGCATCCGGGCAAGGACAAGAAGATTCGGAGACAGTTTCTTCCCGCGGGCAGTGAGACTGTTAAACAATTGAACTGTTGAAACAACATCAAACATTCAACTGCTACTCAGTAGTATGTATCTAATACCTAATATATATATATCATTCCAATAACTTGTATATAGACTCATACTGCACTATTCCACATCATAACTTTATTTCATTTTTATAACTATTACTATTTTTGTATTGCTCTTGCTCTTATTGTTATTATGTTATGTTATTATGTTGCATTGTTGGAGAAGCCTGTGACATAAGATTTTCAACTGCATAATTACTCTGTAGCTATGTCAGATTGACAATAAAGAACCTTGAACCTTGAGTTCAAACCTCTGAAGGCACAGAGGTGAACGCTCATTATTGCTACATAATGTCACCATCTGCAACACAATTTAGATTTTCTCTGCAAAATTCCTTTACAGTATGTAGTCATTTTCACTTAAAACAGGATGTTGCATTACACCGTTTTATTTAAGAGACAATTATTGAGGATATTTCTCCATAAACAAACAGGATGAGTCATTGCTGGAAAACAGAAGGATGGATGAAACTGAAGGATGGATGAACACATGATGGTATGAGCTACAATCGTTAGTGGGTATGTCATCAGCCATTTAACCAGGTACTGACTAATAGCTTGAAAGATCCCGCACATGTAAAAACCTAAATACATTCATGTCTAATCTCTTTAAAAATGCTCAGTATGTAAAACACAAACGCTCACAAATTAAGTGATTAATACACACCCAGTGGTCACACAAATGGTTAAATTACACTTACTAACAAGGCCGATATGTCATTCAATACTATGCTTCTATTGACTTAAAACATTTATAGTAGAGCAGTCCTCATTGTTTCACTTCACAAAAGGAAAAGTTATATATTGCACAAACATGGAAATAATTTCATGGAAATACATA